TGTTTACCTTCGGAACAGCAGCCAAAGCTAATAGCACCACACCAACCCCATCCCACAGCTGGATGGACGAGGGTGTGTGTGTGTGTGTGTGTGTGTGTGTGTGGGTGTATGAGGACTTTCCTAGTGTTTACACTCAACATGCCAGTTGGTGCTTGATTTCTTTTCTGTGTGAGGACATTATATCAAAGTAGTAAAACACACAACGACCTCCGCCTAAGGCAAACACAGTGTCATGTTTAACTCATGAGATATCATATGGACTCAGAAGTCAAATAAAAAAACATGGGCAGATTTAGCTTCATCTCATAGAGAATCCTCCTGCCAACTGCTGAGTGTATCGTAAGAGTTTTTAACAGTTAGCAAGTGCCAAAGGTTTCTCGAAATGAAATCCATCCTTCCTAAACAGGACTGTACAGATTTGAACTAACTCTTAACCAGTGGTCATGTTGATTAAAGAGCAGTTTTGTGCTGATTATATACACCATTGTTCCAGCCACAAAGCCCACTTACAGAGAATGTCTAATTGCAACCCAGCCACAATGTCTGCTTTTTATTCTGTGTCGATCAATTTCTACATCTCTTTCTCAGTCCTTTTAAAACTACCAGAACTTACTTCTGCTCCCATTATTGCACCACTGTTCCTCCTGTCTGCTCAATAAAAACACTCTGCTGTCATAATAAAAGAGACAGGCGCTGAGGGATGGAGAAATATATAGAAAGAGGGAATAGAGAGATAGCAGGAGAGATGGAGAATGGCACACAAACACACATGGCCTCCCTCACCTCTTTACCAGGGCGTTCAGCCAAACACAATTCATGTTGCTTGAACACTGCACTGTGTTACGCAGCAGAGAACAGACACACAGTTGACTAATGGATGGAGTGATGGCCGCAAATCCTCACCAACCCTGTCAGCCACAACAGAACTCCCTGCTTTCTTCAGCATAGCAGGAGGTTTTAGGGCTTTTATCACTTGCAGATTGGATTTTGTGTCCAATTGAAGGGCCTAGTGTCTGTCCCTCTTGATTTAGAGTGGTCAGTGGACATTTTAATAGGTCAGTTCACCTGATTTATTTTAATGAGTTTACTTTTTTTAGACAATTAGTATGCGTTGTGTCCATAAATCAAAATTTGTTTATGTCCATTCTATTGGTATGGCATCAGAAATCTTATACCCAGATATTTCAAAGATAAAATGCATTCAGTGGATGATGTTGAACATTCATTTGGGCAAACTCTTTAGGTATTTCAATCCTCTGCTGGCTGCTGACATCCAGTTTCACATCATTCCATAGATGTTCTGTTTGCCTGGTACAGCTAGAGTTTATTTTTGTTACAGTAGTTTGACCATTGCATTCCTGAAACAAGTAATCCGTGTTCCCAGACACAGCATTTACCTTTTTTAAACAATTAATGCGTCCTCTTGTGGACATTAGGGAGTGCCAGTGATGAAAGAAAAAGTTGCTAAATCTTTTATTCAAAGACCCCCTCCAGTGAAAATTAAGTTGGGTTTTTTTAATCTCTTTAACTTCTCCATATGTTGGGTTTTTTTGTTGTTGCTTTTTCAATACTAGAAGTGAAAATAAGCAGTTACTGTCATGACTAAGCATTTCCACCTTGAAACTGCAGTGTACTGATGACACCTTCAGAAACACTGATTAAAACCTAAGGAACTAATCCTGTCAATTTGCAGTGTGGGACTTTCTGTATCGCTTTTCTTTTTCAGAAACAATTTCTGGCTTGACCATGTGTTTACTTCAATATTACAATTTGCCGTGTGTAGTGTCGAGTGGTTTTACAGTGTTTCTGCAGTGAGTGGCAGAGGGGTGGGTGACAAGAGAGGCAAAGGTTTTTAATTGATCACTTCTAGAGAAAGCAGCAGTGTAGAGTTGCAAGTGAGCCCTTTTAAGGCAGGAAGAGATTGTTTTCATTGCAAAAACTTTTGTTAAAAGTTATTTTGGGTTTGATATATGAGCTGCGAAGACCAAAGTGAGAGCTGTGTTTGTGTGTTTGGCCCCAGACAAACATGTTGGTTGATGTCCGACTCAAGTTTGGCCCTTGGCTCTGATTGTGTTTGTGATCTTGACGGATAGGATCTCAAGGGGCACTTGGGGTTCGGAAGGTTTGGGAAACACAAAGTCACGTGTCTCTTTTTTTTGAATGACGCAGTTCTGATGGCTTCATGAGGGCATGACTTTCAGTGTACACTGGAGTGGTTTGAACCAAGTTTGAAATGGCCAAGATGATAGTCAGCACCACAAAATCTGAAGCCATGGCTCTCTGCTGGAAAATGGTGGATTGCTCCCTGTGGGTTAGTTGTTGCCCCAAGCAAAAGAGTTTAAGTATCTTAAGCTCTTGATCATAAGTGATGGGAAAATGGAGCATGAGATGGACAGTTTGGTTTACCATTAACAGTAATGCAGGTGTTGTAATGGAGTTGTAATGGTTTACCAGTCAGTCTACATTGATGAGTTTTGGAGAGTGACTGAAAGAATCAGGTCCCACATACAAGCAGCCGCAATGAGTTTCCTCTGTAGTGTGGCTGGGTTCAATCTTAGAGATAGGGTAAGGAGCCCAGACATTCAGAGGTGCTTGGAGTTGCGAGGACGCATCTTTGCGTCAACAGGGGCAGGGCGACTGAGCTGTGTTCAAGCATCTGGTTAGGAAGCCTCCTACGTGACTTCCCTTAGACGTTTTCCAGGCATGCCCAACTTGGAGGAGAACCTGGGGTAGCCCTGGAACTCACTGAAGAGAGAACGTCAGGAAGACTCTGCTTAGCCCGCTGCCAGTGTGATTCCACCCAGGATAATGGAAGAAAATTAATGGATGGATTTAGTGGCATTCAGTTCCCATTCTCAGTATAAATAAGTACCTTAACTGGACTTATAAATACAGTCTTGCAAAGGACAAAACGAACATTGGTCTAAGGGATTATAAGGGATTATTTAAAAATGTAGATGCTTGTTACGCAGTGCACAAAAGATCTGGTAAGCAACTGTTGCTAGACCTGGTGTGTCTGATGCATGATAATGAAACTCCAGACACACTTTTAATTAGTGGAACCATAACTGAACCACCATCTCTGCATGCTTCACATACTGAGTCACAGCTTTGTAGTCCTCTGTCTGCACGGCCCGGCTGTTTACGTTAATGTGTCTATGTAATAAAATGGCTGATGAGTGTGTGTGTGTGTGTGTGGTTATGTCTTTATCAGAGTGTCTGTGTCTAATTGTCTCTCTCTCTCTCTCTCTCTGAGTAAACACAAGTGTTCACAAACTCACTCACAGACACAACAAAGTTTGCCAGATGAACTGTGTCAGCCTTTGCTAAGTGTTCAGCATGATGAGATTTAAACAAAAGCACATGAAGGCAACTTTTTTGCAGCTCTGTTTTCATTTTTGCTTGATCTGGTCCGGAGCGACCTCGGAATAAAGCCAAACATGCCACATGTTCTGAATGCCTCGTCAGTGATTCAACAACCTAAAAAAAGCAGCAGAGAGCCGACGTGTCGCATACGTAAAAGTATGCTCCACCACTGCTTCGAATACTTCTACTGCTGTCTCAGTTTAATAATTGGGCAGCATGTCCTCCAACTGATTGTCAATATATTTTACATTTTTTCCTTCATACCATTACACTAGTTCAAATATACATGCAAACTCCAGTTAAAACATATAAAAGGGTCCCCACATGTAAATATAGCTAAATAGATATATTATGTATATATATTAATTCACCTTAATCCCATAAACACACACATACAGAGCAGTATTTATGTCCAGGTTTATTTTGATATTAGGCTCCACATTCCTGTATATCTTGGTTGTTTTCTGGGGTATTCTGGGCTACTCTTGATATGAAGTAATTTGTAAAGAATGTCTTTTTTTCTTCTTCTCACCTCTCCATACCTGCATAAACAACAGAAATATCGTAAAAATGTATTGGGCACATTCATGTTCCTGACATGTTGCACACAAGAAATATGATATAAAAAGGAAGATTGACAATTTTCTGTTCACAGTCATGCTTTCAGAAGTGATAAATTGTTTGCACTGGTTCATGTAACTGTAAAGGCTCTAATTATAGTCAATTAGCGGCCCATAGTTCTTTCAGTCTTTGGATATCATGTTATGTGCAGAACACTGCGGCATCTAGGAGCTGCCATAAGCCCTGTAATCTTTACTGCAATTGATTAACCTGATTCAAACCTCCTCCTTTTCTTCTACTTTTGTTCAGCTATACTCACTGCCTTGCTAGTGCTAACTTCTAACGTTTTGCTGAGTGTGCATGCAGCCCCACAGTTGGACACACTGTGACTGTTTACATGCCTTTCTCAAATGTACCTCAACAGTAGCTTTCCTGGTAGAGGAGAACATTTTATCCATGTACCTCCCCCTCCACTTTTTCCTGTTTTTCATCCCAGCTGGCAGGAATTCTAACCGTTGTCTTTCACTGGTTTCTCCCCTAGGGGTATTAAGGGGACACAGGTCATATACCTCAGCTGTCACTGGCCTCTGGGGGTACAAAGATCTCACCAACTGACTGTGGTTTTACTGACAGTCAACAAGTAACCAGGTGTTTTCATAGGGGCAATTCTGGTTTTTCAGTGTAGTGAAACCACTACTTGGACGTAAAAAGTATGCACAAGTGTAGCACTTTATGGCCAACGTGTGCCACACGTTACTTGTTGTTGAGGTTGAGTACAGAAACTCTGAGCTGAATCTCTCAGCACTGGAAAACAGCGCTAAAATCAAAGTGCCTTTCAGAAAGTTGCCTTGCACCAAAACTCTTCTCGTGTAGAAGCTCATGGACAGCCAGAGAATGACTAAGAGTAATGTATATGCCTATGTGAGTGCAAAACAACAAAACAGTACATTCAGTAAATCTTACTGAGGCTTCAGATTCACCAACGGTGTTTGTCTCTTGATCCTTAACATCTGCTTCATTTGTGCTTCATGCATTTACTCATTGGAGTCCTTCACCTGTGTTTCCCCCTCCAGGAGGAGTACAGGGCAGAGGGCATCACCTGGCACAACATCGACTACATCGACAACAGCGGCTGCCTCAACCTCATCAGCAAGAAACCCACAGCTCTGTTCCACCTGCTGGACGAGGAGTGCAAGTACGGCACCTGTTTATTCTGACGCATCCTGATGCATCTCATCTTGTTGTCTGTGTCGTTGCTATGTAGATTGCAATTAAATCAGCCATTCCACTCACCCATTACACACTATTATCTGTGTGATTTAACACCACTGCTTTTTTCCCCTGTAGCTTATTAAGCCAAATATTGTATTTCATCAGAATGCAACCAGTTCTTAGCTTTAATAGCTCTTTATTTGAGATGCAGCAGTGCACCTCCACTGTAAAGTCCTGCAAAGAACCCATAGAGCTCTAAAAATATATCAGACTACAGGTGGCGGTAGGGCCTATAATGGGTACCAGTTTGGTTTTCTTAACTAATGACTGGGTTGCCAGGAAATTTTCTGTTGATGTTCATGATCCTAAAATGATGAATCATAATGTTTTAGTGACCTGACCTTTGCTTCCACTGTTTCAAAACTAATTAACTGGCAGCAAAAATCACAAAAAGGTTTACTTTATATATGCATTTTTTACATTTTATATAGTCAACATAAAATCAGGTCTGCACTGTTTAACCCTCTGAGCTGTTTAACTAGCATTTTTTCCCTTCTGTGACAATTTTTACTGCAATGAAAGTCCTGCAATAGAACAACCATAGATGTAGAGAGAACTCAGAAATGTCTTTCATGCAATATAAAAAAGCTATAGCCATAAACCATGAAAAAAAGGAAAAACTAATATTTATTTATTTAGCAAAACAACCTGAAATCACCATATACAACATTTTGCTGAAGTGCCAACATTTGTTGCGAATACTGTCATAATGGCTTCATGGTTCCCCCGGTAACAACACATTTTTCTTTTTTTTTAAATAATTTTTTTTACAGAATCCGGTTAATACAAATGCTTTATCGTTGGCAAATATAAATGAGACATGCAGAGTGACATGATATTTCTTAAATTTAGATTTGGTTAATTTTATCTATGAAACCACACATCACACATGATTAGTCCAAGGGCCATCAAAAAGTTGAAAATTTGACAGTTCTCTCTTTTTTTAATTGTTTCTTTGCTTGACAAATTGTGTCAGTTGGACAGTTTTGTATGGACAACATGCCTTTCAAAACCCACATTTGGGGTACAGAGGGTGAAATACACTTGATTATTGAACTTACCAGTTCGAGAGCAGGGTGTTGACTGGTAAAGGTCCAAGTGGGATGTCTTTGGAGATAAGAAGGAATGGCTTAAAATGCCCTTCCTTTTCACCTGTGTGCAGTTGTTGCTTTTCGTTGTGGTTACCAACCCACATTTTACTGCAGCACACTTTGTTTGTTCTTTGATGCATCTGGTAAATCGAGAGACAATCTTCTCCCTGCACAGGCTTTCAGCCTGATTAATACCAACACTGAGATTCCTGCTGGGGTTTCACTTAAGAGCACAGATGGGCTGATTCTTGCACCAACATTACTGGATAAAGTTTTGGGGGGTTTTTTCTCAATAAAATGTTGTACTGTAGGTCAGCACTCTGACATTTCTCTTCCATAAATCAAATCTAACACTCTCCCACCCCATTGCATAAAAACACAGAAGGTGCTGCGCACACAGCCATATTTATCTATGTTAGCTGTCATCTTACTTGCCACTTAGCGTAGCTGCTTCATCTGGATCTAATAATGTCTGGAATGGACCATGTACTTGTGTGTGTGTGCGTGTGTGTGTGTGTGTGTGTGTGTATCTGTGTGTTTGTAAAAAGGGGGAGCACTTTTGGAGAATTAGGGTCAAAGGGGGATCTGTGAAGAAAAAATGACAGAGGGACAAGGTTTCTCTGGGGTTTATGCTGCCATAGGAAGGAGTTTCATGCTGAATGATTATAGAGAAAGAAGGAAAGATGCTTACAGATCCCATCATTCACAGTTAGTGGAGCTCACAGGGCTTCAGGGCCTCTGGAGAGATGGATTAGGTTACTTTGGAATAGGTGGTGAGTGTGGGGGTTCATTTCTGCAGTAACAGCATCAAGCTTTAGGACCCCTGCGGATATACTTTAGCCAGCAGTGTGTTTTTGAGAGGTGCAGGGAAGAGAGGTTTAGATGATATGAAACATCCCTTTAGGAATGTTGATCTAGCCAGCAGAGGTTAGTAGTAAATGGGTTAAATGTCCCTGAAGCAAAGGTGAAAACAACAAAGAAAAATGTCCTAGTAGAAGCACTGTAACTCGGGTGAAATTTAAACCATAGCATCAGGTTTGTGACAGAGCTTTAATCCCTGAGGGCTGAAGGAATGGAATTAGAGAAGCTGTATTCCTTCTTTAAATTTAAGCAAGGTGTCCTTGACAACTACATTTATCAGCTGCTGCACTGGTGCTGCTTTGTAGTCAAGAGTGGATTTAAAATCAAAGTAAGTAATCATTAAATGGAATAGGTTGTTGTGTGTGCTACTGTATGAAGCTTCTCTCCTTTCAAACAGACAAAATGCCAGCAAGTAGTTGTTGCAAAATGGGTCCTAGAGCAGAGTTGGGTATCAATCATTGTAGTGCCATTAAGATTAACATAAAAGATTTATTCAGTTTAGAATCTTGGATTTCACTCAGACTTGACCATGAGCCTGATAAAATTGTTGTCTTTCTAGTTTTCCCCAGGCTTCCAATCAGACCTTGCTGGACAAGTTCAAGCGTCAGCATGAAGGAAACAGCTACATCGAGTTCCCTGCTGTCATGGAGCCTGCCTTCATTATCAGACACTATGCTGGGAAAGTCAAGTACGGAGTCAAGGTGAGTTGCGTACTTGTGTGTGCATGCATATGAGTTTTTAATATGTTATAATGTGCATCACTTAAATACGTTTGTTGCCATATTCGGTATCTGTTACTGTAAACAGCTTGACAGGTATCCTCCATTATCATGACATTTGTATTCACGACAGTTGAAAGTATAGTTCTTTATCCTGGTGCGATGCTGCAACATGTACTGTGTAGAGGCAGGTTTTAGTGCAGTAGTCCTGTGTGGAGACTTTTTTTGGCTGTTTTTTGGACACATGAGAACTGTGCCAATCAAAATAATAATTCAACTGAAACATCTCACCCTTGTAATTCTCTGTTGTCTTCCAAGTTCACTTGCTTCTTTACAGAAGCACGTCACAACTGATGATGTTCATAGCCTCAGTGGTGTAGTATCACCATTTGTCTGATTGCCTGTTTGGTAGCTTCTGTAATCTTGATGCAGTCGACTGTTTGCAGTCCTGCAACTTCTACCCAACCTGCTACAAGCCAGACACTAGCTTAAAGTTAAACGTTAAACACTGATCCTGCGAGACAAAGTAGTCATCTGTGTTGTCTGAGTCTTTCTTCGCAATGTTCCAGTTTCTCATCAAGAAGTCCTCCGAAATATTCTCATATGTTTTGATTGTTAAACCCAGTCAGTTCACCTGCACTTCTAGATGACTCTAACCGTCTGCAAACCCTCTGGGCTTTAACAGCATGCTATCTTTAAAAAGACATTTATAAGAGTCAGAAACTAAAAAAAAAACAAAGAGTCTTCAGATCTTTTAACTTTGCAATTTTATTTAAACTAGTAGTGTGTGATGTGCTGTTTGATTGGAAAATAATTTTTTGAGTTTTCTCTCCTTCTAGCCATGGTTGTGCTGTTTCCATAGAGGTGCATAACTTTATGTTGAAGTGAAAATTACCACAGTGAGAAAAAATGTGACAAGAGCAAAACAAAATGTCCTGAATTTGCTTGGTTCATGTATTTATGAAATCAAGAACTAATGAAAAATGAAGCTGTCAGCAGTAAACAATCTGGATTTCTACTTTTTTTGTTGTTTTTGTACATTGAATCTAGATTTAAAGTCTGAGCTGAATGCCTAAATTGTCAGTAAAATAGAAGCATTCTGTCGCATTGCATCTTAAAAGTGATGAAGAAAGTTTCTCCTCACTTCACTCAAACCTGTGTGGATTCTGAAAGACTTAAACAGCTCTACTTGTTCTGTCGACCTATTTTTGCAGCGAGATCTAATTCTCTGTTCATTTCCCAGCTGCGTTTTGATAAGAAGCACATGTGCTGGAATGAGGCGAGCGTATTGTTGTTTGACTGTATAATATAAATCCATAACAGCTGGTTATCATGGCTGTGGAAAAGTATCCCATATCTGCTGAGAGCCAAGGAGTTGTTGGTGTGAATTGTGCAGCGAGAGCCACAGTAGTGAAATTAGTCTGACGCTGGCTCGATAGTGAACACACAGCTGACTTGTATCATATGGAGGGAGAATATGTTGAAGGTTTATAGTTCATGGCTCTGTTATCATAGCACAGCTTCAGTTGGAATATTTCATTCCTTAGAGACAGATGGGGCATGTGTTTCTGCACTCATATGGATCTGAGGGAAGATTTCTTCTTCTTCTTCTTCTTCACCTCATATTTAATGTGCAGCAAGAGTGGAAAAACAACTATAAATTTATTGCATATTTACAGCTTGTATGACTGTTTTTGCTTTAATTGTGATCCTTTGTCTGAAGATTAAAGCAATAGTTTGACATTTTGGGGAACAATAATTACTTGCTTTCTTACAAGAGTCAGATGAACATCAGTCTCATGCAAAAGGTGAAAAAACTCATTTTCTAAAATGTCATACTATCCCTTTATCTCTTTACCACTGGGCCTGTAATTTTGGAGTAACAGCAGTTAAACATTTGGCCATAAATAGCTGTAAACTGTGCTGCCAGCTGGCTTTGCTCTGCTTAACTAACAATAAAAATCACAGCACAGACAATAACTTACAGTATGCCCTAGTTTATAATAACTAATACATCTTACAAACAGTCCTTTGTGTGTTTGCGCCCATACATTTGCTCTCCAAGATAAAGATATCACCTGCCAGACTGACAGTCTAAGAGGAATTGTGATGATGCAAACTGAGTCTCAAAAACCAACCAAAGTTTGACCTTTTTCTTTCCTTCACTCAGGACTTTAGAGAGAAGAACACTGACCACATGCGTCCCGACATTGTGGCCTTGTTGAAGAGCAGCAAGAACGCCTTCATCTGTGGCCTGATGGGAATCGACCCCGTGGCGACCTTCCGCTGGGCGGTGCTGCGTGCTTACTTCAGAGCCCATGTGGCTTTTAGGGAGGCCGGCCGCAGGCACACCCACAAAAAAACTGGTGAGGAACATGTATTGCCGTTTATCAATAACATTCATTGCAGACTGAACTAGACAAGAGTCTTTTTGCACTTCTAGCATCTGAGAAACTGATTGTTGGTAATGTCACTGCAGAAATAGGAAAACCTAGTGGCTAACAATTAGCTTTGATCATATATCTGCTGGTCAGAAATGTAGCAGTGGGCAGTGTTTCCTTTAGGCTTTTTTTTTTAAGCAGCGGGGGCAGGTTCTCTGGGTAGCTGTGGCAACATAAACAAATGACACTTGACAGCAGATTTTACTTTTACAACCTATTTATTGAATGGCCAGTTGAAAATAGCTTTTTAAAGGCTGAAAATAAAAATAAAAACTAAACTAAATCAATAAAACAACAAAATAAAATAAATTAAAATAAAAACAGTAAATAATAATTTCTTGATGGGGCTGTAGAATCAGTGGCAAAGTTTACAACCAGACTCAGAACAATTGGGTTTTTATAGAAGCGCTCAAAAGCTCTGTTGTATGGAAATTGTCCGAGAGGTGACCGCTGATGCTCAGCAGCATACATGCTGTAAGCTGATCCCCCTGCAGCCTGTTTCTCAAGACAGTATTCAGACAGTTCATCTTTGGAATACAGTTGAAAATGTTTAATTGCAAAAATTGTTAAATAGACAAAAATTATATATAATAAATATAGCAATTAATAAACAGGGTAATTTTTGTAAGATTTTATAACAGGACAAAAGTCTCTTACTATGGAGCCCCTAAAGGGACACGGAGGGGAAAAAACTACATGGAGGGGGAAAAAAACCTTTGCGAGATCTCGCAAAGTATTGCTACGGAACCGTCAGAGCCAGCGGCAGATTTCAGAAAGTCTTGCCGACATCAGGCTGCTCTCAGCGGCTACTGTGAGCACTAACCGCTGTCACAGCTGTCAAACCGGGACGCTCACATCTCCGAAATCGTCGGAGCAAAATTTTAAGCAGGCTTTATCTTGATAAAATGACCACATATTTGACGTTTATACCACTACTTTTTTGCCTAAACTAATCTTAAAACTACAGTTTGTGTCACAAGAACAATAGCATTTACAAAAAAACTTGTGTTACTGTTGAAAGTTTTCTCCTCGGCTTTTGCCGCTGGTTGGTGCGAAATGCATTCTGGGATACTTGGCTGTCTGAAGTCCACACATGTCCGGTCTGATGCAGACTCGATAATGTGGGCGGTGCGAGAACACATCCGGGCATTTCATACTCGTACTCGTACACATTCGTACTTGGTCAGATGCATACTTAGAATTGGGACAGAACTTGGTCTCCGACTGATGACGTTTCACATGTCTGCAAGAACACAAGTACGGACAAGTACGCATATTGAGACACGGCCAGCAGCTCCATCATGGCGTGTAGATATTAGCTTAATGCTATCAGTTAGTTTACTCACATTAGCGACACTGAGTTGGCCCCAGGCCCAATTAACTTAAACGACCGATATGTTACGTAACGTTAGTTGGCCATCAACATTTTGTCAATGTCTGTTTAACTTGTAAAATCTGTTCTGAGTTCTCTTAAGCTCATAAGTCTACCTTTTCTCTGATAAGCCGCTGCCCTATTCTCCAAGACGACTCTACTCTGACTCTCTGACCTCGAGCCTGGTGGTGGACATGATGTCACTCTAAAGGCTGCGCTCTTGCAACTAATTAACATCGTATTAACCCCCCAAAGAGTAGATACTGAGCAGGATAGTTACCTGTAGTTTACCTTAGTACTCGCCAGTAATTAACGTTGTATTGTGGTGTACACAAGTTCTGTAGGTCTCACACACAAGGGACACTATTATTTTGAAGGGAACGGGGGCAAGGTTTTCCGGGTCGTGGGAAAGCGGATGTTGTACAAAAAGCTTAGAACTGTGAGTGAGTCTTCCTGTAAGTGGAGTCAAATAAAGGAACAGAAACTCAAGCTCAACTCTCTTCTCTCTTTTTATCGACTTCCACAGTATTAACCCCCCAAAGAGTTGAGACTGAGCAAGATAGTTATCTGTAGCTTACCTTATTACTCGCAAGTAATTAACGTCATTTTAACCCCCAAAGAGTAGATACTGAGCATGATAGTTATCTGTAGTTTACCTTAGTACTCGCAAATACCGACCCAATGCAGGACTGTGCTTTGAAGGTGGAGACATGCGATGGGTTTGGGAGTGGCGGCCTGCCACTCCTAAATGAATGTAGAGGAAACACTGGTAGGGGATATTCAGGATGGAAACTTTAGGACTGATTTGAAAACAATACAACCTCAATTTAGTGAGTGTTTAATCTATTTTCTTCTCTCCTGTTCTCTGTGCTCATGTGTACTGCATTTTAATACAATTGATTTCCCAATAAGGCTGTTCTCATTGACACATTTTTTATTGCTGTTGTCAGAAAACAAAATGAGTATGAAACAGTTACTAAAACACAGCCCATAAAGGTTCCATGTTAACCAGCACTCACTTTGGAGCCGTGTCCGAGCTTCTGCTCTGCAACTGCAACGTCATCTGACAAACTGATCACAGACACAAGTTAAAAACAACAGCTGTTGTTTAAATTCAGCAAATTTTCCAAGTAAAATGGTAAGAGAGAAAGTTAGAGATAGAAAGTGTTTCTTGCATCTCAGTCAGCTGCTGTTTGGTCAACTTTGATATGTGTCAACTCCATGCTGTCAGTCACAGTCACAGAGAGAGTCTTCTTCCTAAAAAGGGTGTGACCAGCTGCAATTAAAGCAACAGACACTGAAATAAATGGTTAAACATCTTGGCAGTAATTTAGAGATAAAAACATTGAAAGACACATGTTAGACTTTCAATACTTTTTTTCTTTCATGAGCCAAAATGGGGATACTTTATCAGAAACCATCTTCATCTTTTGTCACTCTGTCTGTCTTTGTGTTTTAGGGAACGATGCAGCAGTTTCCTGTGCGGTGGTTAAAACTGTTGACAACTTCAGTTTCCTTCACCACCCGGTTCACCAGAGGAGCCTCGAGATCCTTCAACGATGCAAAGATGAGAAATACAGTGAGTAGCTCCCAAAGTCTTCAAAAAGCCTCTTTGCCATGTTGCTTACATCTCTGCTAATAGAAAGTGAAAAAAAAAAAAAAATTGGACAGAAAACCAAAAGTGCTTGTGCAAAGCCACAGTTCACTTACAGACCCTCATAGTAATTAAAACACAAATAGTGAAACCCCGGATTTTTTTTATGCTGCAAACTGATTTCCACTGTGCAATATGTTTTCATTTGGTTTAATGTATAATTAATCAAAAACTTAGAGATTCCCAGGAAAACTAATATTCACATATAACACACATGAAAGGGATGAAGGCTGCTCTGGAAATAACTGTGTTATTTCATGTATTATTCAAAGTGCTTCATTCTGTATAGCAGCTTTTAGAAGAAAACAGTGTTACTGAAATACATTTGAAATATAATTCATTTTAATCCTAAACAAGATATTTATAAGTTATTTGTTTTTATAACCTCTTTCCTTCACTTTCATTGGTTTTGTTGAGTTTTTCTCTTAATGTCTCTGTAATTCAGGTTTTCCAAAATATTTGATGTTTTAATTGAGACTCTGACAGTATGTTTGTAAGGTCAAGACATATGTAAGCATAAAATGTCAATAATATTGACTCTACATATTAAAAGAACTGCATTTATATAGCCTACATTATTTTTTTATCACTGCTGATAGAAATGTGTGCTTTCTATTAAGAAAATGAGAGGTTTTTCTTTGAAAATAGATACGTTTCATTGAGTTTAATTTCTGTGTGTTTTATTCTGGAATCATAAATTGAACTGAAACACACTGAAAATCTTCATATCTGAGCAGCTCCCTGTTAATGAGCATTATAAAGGAATGTATTCCTGCTGATTTGAGGTGAAAGTGCTCCCATTTCCAGTTTCTTATATTCTAATCAGAAGCTCGACACTGAACTCGATCCAATCAAACAAATCAATCCCAGGCTGTACTGAAGAAAGCTGATAATAATGGCTCATTCGTGGTGTTAACGCAGCTGCTGATAAGATATTAGAAATCAGGTATGTGGGTCATCCTGAGCTCTGGACAGATTGAGTCACCTCGGTGCAGCGCTCATAACCAGGAATATTCTCATGCAAGAGTGATCAGACAAATGAATCTGGTCTTTGTGGAGCAGCATGGTTTAATGACACCCACTGACTTTCTGGCTGTCCTTTATGACTCGTTTTACCGTTGATAACCACATACGTGTGGGGGAGTGTGTCTTCATGTGCCTAAACATCCGAGTGTGTGTATGCACATCACATGTCCTCATCTTGTAAAGCAGCACTTTGCTGTAATTCCACTTGGATTTAACAGCAGTCAGCACTGAAATTGATTTCCAGGAAAAATTCCAAATGAATTCCCACAGTGTTTCTTCTGTTAAAGGGAAAATCCACTGATTTTACACGTCGGCATCTATGCAGCCTACATCGTAGTTTGTATGAGCCAGCCAGTGAAAACAGTTGTGCAATGTTTTGTTGAGCTTAGAGGACCTTTGACAAAAAAACAAACCCTTTACTAGCTAATGAAAAAACATTATGAACCCTCTGAATCCCCAGCAGTTTTGGTTTTTATTTACTCCTGTCACATTTTTTCTCATGTAGGCTCATTTTTTTACTGCAATACAAAGTCCTGCATCTGTATGTGAACAGCACAACTGTGGTTATAAGTAGGGATGGAGCATTTATGGGCCAGTATTTGAGTATCAGGGTCTGGAGAATAATAATTAATAATGCCTTAAGATATCAACCTTAGTGGGCAACAAAAGTGATAGAAAAGTGAAAGATTGATAAATAGACAAAAACAGTCGAAGCAACTGCAGCAGATAAACTGATCAATCATAGTTGATGTCATATAAGGAGGAGAGCGACCTGATTTAATCACTCATATTTCTATTTTACATATTCAGCTATAGTCACCCTTATGCACTGCATGCTGTTGAAACAATTCATTCAATGTATATCCATTCCAAATATCCTTTATCTGCCTTTCTTGATTACATATAATCAGCATCAGTATCGGCCCTGAAAATCCCATTTTGATCTATCCCTAGTTATAAGTAGAGAGAACTCAAAACTGTCTTCTGTGCACTGACACAGTTAAAATGTCTCACAGCATAAAAAAAAGAAAGATGAAAGTTGAACTTCTGTGATTATTTATTTTATTCAGTGTGTGCAACATTTTTCCAAGTGCCAACTTGTTGTTACCAACTAAAAAAATGTTTGTTTTATAAACTATGCATATTTTACTATTTGTATTTTTAATTTGTGTCCATACTTGTCTAGTGTCAGTCATGGCTTCTCAGCTGCACCAAGGAGCACAGATTTTTATTTTTTTTTTATTTTTTATTTTTTTACAGAAACTGGTGCGTAAACAATTTATCTTTAGCAAATTTTTAAATGAGACGTGTAGAATAGAGTGAATTTAATCACAGCTTTAAGCTTAGGTTTGGTTAATTTTTTAAAATGCAACTGCACGTCACATATAGCTACTTCACACGCTGTCGGAAAGTTGAAAATTTGACAATTCTTATTGGTTTACGATTTCTACAGTATATTACATTTTAGAGGTGTGAGTCAGAGTCAGGATGGAAAACTGTAATATCACTGCTTCCGTTACAACTGTTTTTTGTTGTTGTTTTTTAAAAAATTATCACTCTCTAATGAGTCTCCCAACTTTATGGAATACACATACACAAACAGTTCTCTTTCATTTTCCTGGTTATAAAGGAATAGTTTTATTTTTCACTCTTATGCCAAAAGAACTCATCGATAACATCACAGTTTCCAGGCAACCAGCAGAGTTTTTAAGCAAGTTACCGTTCTCTCCCAAGAAGTAGTTTAGCACGTTAAATATAAACATCTTTCCCGTTTCCAGTCTTTGTGCTTCGCTAAGCTATCAAAGCACTGGCTGTAGCTTCTTTTTGACCAGGCTGACATAACAGTGTTCATAATCTCCTCTTTAATTCCTTTAATTCCATCACATTACTTGACAGTTTCAGGACTCGCCTTTACTCTAACGTGTCTTTGAAAGACAGCTAGATACAAAGTCAGCTGCAGTTTTGTGAGATAATTCTGAGCTTAAACAGGAGTAAACCACAAACGAAAGCTGCCTGTTCTCAAGACATAACGTCTCCATACGCATTCATGCTCTACCACAAAAAGCACTGAGGTGAAAAGGAAAAGAAATCTCTCTGACTCACTCTCACATGCGCCCACAAACTAGAAGGCTCACTTGGGAAACGTAAGGCTACAGGAGCAAGATAAAGTTTTAGCAGTGGATAATTGTAAGTAAGCAGGATATTGAGCCTGACAGGGGTGAAGGTGAAGAAGAAAGGGTGGTTCTGGGATTTCAAGAGAAGCAGAAGTAAAAGTAAGAAAACTGTGGATTGCCTGAGCTGTCGGATCTTCACTCTGCGGTTACGAATAGGGAGTGGCTGAGATGCAGTCTGTAGATAAATCAAATATCCTTTTAATTTTATATATCTTTCCTTTCTTTTCCTCTCCTCCCCTCTTTCCCTCCAGGTATTACTAGGAAGAATCCCCGCACACCTTTGTCAGATCTTCAAGGCACCAATGCTTTGAATGAGAGGGCCAGCTGGTGAGTATGAGCGTTGTAGTGTTTTTCAGAATGTATGGTGAGTTGATATTGATATTGAAAGTGACAGATTCCTCCACAAAACATTATTATAATTATCAAATCAAATGACTGTGTATTTAGAAAGTAAAGGTTGTTAGTTCTGCCATAGGCTCAGGGATCAAAGCTGTGTCTTTCCTCTCCCTCCTTCTCCTTGTAGGGATGGCTACGGGGTTGGATGTAATGGTCGCAGCTCCAGGTCAGGTCGACTCTCCTCATCGGGAAGCCCGGCCCTGGAAGAAGACGGGATCTTCCTCAACACGACCAACAGCAAGCTTCTGGAGAGAGCTCAGGGTATCCTACTGTGAGTAACAATACTGGTTAATGTTTTGGCCAATACTGATTAGTTTCTCACTAACTAACTACTGCTGGTCTAGTAATAATTTGTGATATGAGCCAATTCAATTCCATTTTTGAGGGGTTTATACCAACTTACTGTAGATTCTGTTCTTTTTAGTTTTAGAAAACTTTTACTGACCTCGACAATTCATAGCTAAAGGAAAAGATGCTGTCCAGTGGCATTAATGGGTCTAGTAGGCAATATTTTCAGAAAAGTATGTGTATGAGAACTAACAGGAAGAAAATCACAAGTAATCATCAGTTTAGATTTTTTAAGAATTTTGGCATTTTAATAGTTCACAATCAGTCTTTCAACTTCAGGAATGTCAGTGTACAGTGTATTGTTGGCATAGTGCTCTGTTAACCCTCTGAACACCAAAGCCTGCTGGCAGGTTTGAAAGGCATGTCGTCTTTATAAAATGGCCAAAACTGCAGCATTTATTTGAGCCAAAAACTGTAAAAACAGGAATATTTTCCACTTTGTACGTGTTGTTCTGTCACTCCAAATCATTATTTGGGTGACCGAGGCTCAGGTGATAGAGCAGATTGTCCACTGATTGTAAGGTTGAGGCTTCAATCCTCTGTCCCTGAAGACACTGAACTCAAAGGTGCTGCCATCGTTGGTGCGTGCATGAGTGTGTGTGTGAATGGATGAGTCAGTTTTACCAGATTCTGTAAAAATCAAAAAAATCTGTGCTCCTAGACACAACTGAGAAGCAACACCAACTTGGCTGCAACCAACAGTCATGTGAAAAAATTTTAGGGACGATCAGTAGGCTGTGTCTACACAGCAGAGAGGGGACGTGTATGAAAACAAGCTAAACTGACTAAGAGGAAAGTTCAACATACTGGAAAAATAAAATAAATGCAGCATGGCTCAGTAACTGCAAGAGTAAGTTGTAAGCAAGTTGTTGCCGTTAAATTCAGCATGATAAATATCTTTCTAAAGCTGCTGTGTAGAGTCGTGTAAAAACACCCAGTTTACAGTGATTTTTAAAATGTAAGTCGTATAATATTTATAGACTGTAGAGTCACCATGTCTTTCCAGTATTAGTAACACCTGTTTCCATAGAGGTGCAGGACTTTATATTGCAGTGAAAAAAGAGCAACCAGAGTAAATCATTAAGTCTGTACTTCATATCTGTTAATGAAAACATGTCTCTCACCTTTAGGAGAAACAAAAACTGCAAAAGTAAACTATCCCTTCCCAAGGTAAGATGCTGACCTGACACAACACAAAACAACATTGTTAGAACCCGTATTTTTAGAATCAACGTCAAAAATCTTTCATCTGTTAAACACAATGAAAGACATGTTCACATTTAATCTGCTTTTGTGTGTGCAGCACTTACTGGATGTTAAGTCTCTCCGCTACTTGAGCGGTGTGACGCTCCATGATCGCATCACCAAGTCTCTACTACACCTGCACAAGAAGAAGAAACCACCCAGCATCAGCGCTCAGTTCCAGGTCAGTGCTGCTGTCACCCTCTGCTGGAAAATTTGGTGAAATGCAACAACAGCAATGACACAGCAGACTGAGTATATGTTGGCATTGAGGAGTATTTGTCAAAAAAAACAAGTAAAACTCAAATATTTCTAATGCACAACTTACACCTTGACATCCTTTGTTTGTATTTGGGCATGCAGGCATCACTGAATAAGCTGATGGAGACTCTTGACCAGTCAGAGCCGTACTTTGTCAAGTGTATTCGCTCCAATGCTGAGAAGGTAATTACATCTGCAGAGGAGTTGTCACTAAAATGCAGCTTCTCTGAATGCTTTCTTTCTGTTTCACGTAATCTTTAACTCTTTTTCTTTCTGTCTTGCTCAGTTGCCGCTGCGTTTCAATGACAGTCTGGTGCTCAGACAGCTGAGGTACACAGGCATGCTGGAAACTGTCCGGATAAGACAATCAGGTTACAGCATCAAGTACACCTTCCAGGTAACCTGCTTTTCTCCTGGTATTGCACAACAGATCTGCAGTCAATGCCATGTTAGTGTTGCAATGTTATTTATTGGTAGCGTTGTGTAATAATAAAATGATTATATTAGTTCTTCCTCTTGGTGGTTAGATTTCCAATTTTTATCTGGTTAGAATAAAATAATTATACACTACTTTTTGCATGTGAAGAATAGGGTTTTTTAATACAATAAAATGTGCAGTAATGTCACGCTGTATCTGTGTCGCTTACATCTTATTTCAGGACTTTGTTCGTCATTTTCACGTGCTGCTGCCTCGGGGAACGAGCCCAACAAAGTCAGGTATCAGGGAGTTTTTCAGGCGGATCCACCTACTCCCTGCTGGGTATCAAGTGGGCAACACAATGGTACAGTTAACCAGTTTGCTTGTTCTTCTCTGATCTTTTAAAGTACCGCATCTGTTGGACTGCGCTATGACGCTCATCTAAATCTTCCTGTGTGATGTAGGTGTTTCTACGGGAGGCAGAGCGTCAGCGTCTTCAGACCCTCCTCCACCAAGAAGTCCTGCGGCGAATCGTCACACTGCAGCGCCGCTTCAGGGCCGTTCTGGAGAGAAAGCACTTTGTCGACATGAGACGAGCTGCCTGTGCTATCCAGGTGAGACATTGTGATGGGAGAGTAACAAATGGTCATAGTCCGGTTCCACAAGTATCTTCCTGTGGTCTCATTACTGCTGTAAGGGCATCATTAATCCTGAATTTCTTCCGGCCAACATTTCAGCAAGAGTTTTCATAGTCCATTAAAGGTTGTTAGTCATGAACTGTTTAAGCATTAGGTGATTAATAGTTGTATATTTACTGCAGGTCTTAGAACAGCATTCTCTATATATTGTCTATTAGAAATGATATACACTTATGACTCCACAGCAGTTTTCACTTTTTACTCTGGCTGTTGTTGCTGTCTCTATATAATGTAAATAAGGATGTCCCAATCAAGTTATTTGCCCCTGATCTATTTAATTTTTACTATCTGTGTATACCAAGTTCCAGTGCAGTTCAGTTCTTCTAGATAACACGTCAAATGTTGAAGTACCTGATTGTGCTGCCAGCAAGATCCTCCTATAGCGACCAGAGGAGGCAGGCAGTTCCACGCTGGCAAGCAGATAGTATTGTGGGGGTTTAACTAGTAAAGGGTCACCATGACAAAGTCTTTGTAATGCTTAATGATGTCAAGCTGTGTTCAACAAGGATAGTGCTTCTACATTCTAGTGGCAACTGTAACAAATGCCTGCATTGTGTTCCTGTGGATTTAAATAGCAATATTAGCCCAGGATAAATATCTATGTGTGCTTTGTTTGTGTTACAAATGAGTTGATTATTGATTAATAATATTGCATTTATTAAGGAAATTATATAATACATGACATTTGTGTGAATGTGAATGTAAATAAAGGTAAACAAAGGACACAGCTTTTTAGCCTCTTCAAAATGGCAGAGTAACTGAATGTGTTAACAAAAGGATAAATAACTTCATAAACAATTAGATTTAAGATGTGTTGTCATACTAGCAGCATATACAGTGAAGCATTTCAAGAGTTGCTTCATGCAAAGTTAAAGTAATCTTCAATTCAGGTGTTTTTAATGAGTAATTATAAGAAGAAGAAAAAAAACATGCTACAGAGTAAATACTGTTGTCACTTTGTTTCGAAAAAGACTGAGGGAAAGAAAGAAAGAAAGAAAGAAAGAAAGAAAGAAAGAAAGAAAGCAAATGGTGAAAAGACTGACAGAGGAACAAAACGCTGAATTCAGGCCACTGTTGGTATGTTTTTTCTGGAAGGGTCCTTGGAGGGGAGCTGTCCAAATCCATGTCAGGCTGAAAGAAAACAATCCCAGTCATTTCAGAGACAAACACCGAGCCAGAGCCAATAAAGCACAGATAGCATTTAGGAGACAATTAATAGTAATGGCTTCAGTATGTAAACTGTCAAATATCTAAAAATAAAAAAAATAAATAAATAAATACATAAATAAAAGTTGACGTTTACTGTTGACTTTCCATCTCTTTAAATTTTAACATGTCTTTATATGTTATATAAATATTTTTTTTCTCTTTATTCTTTTACATATAACATATAATATATATATAACATATATAGAAGAATCAACAGAGTGTGTTCAGTGGGAGGCTGCGTCAGTTTCGCTGTAGAACGGAGAGATACAGAACTTCATTCCTGCCAACAGCCATCACCTTGAAGAACAAATCTGACTGACTGACAATTGACTGACTGAATGATTATTATTATTGTTGTATAAAATATATGTTATATTGATTTTTTTTTTTTTTTTTTTAAAGTGAGCTTTTACAATATTGAATTTCCCTTCTGGGATAAATATAGTGTTTTTCATTTCATTCATTTCATTTCATTTCATTTCATATGAACAATGTGAATCAGTATCTAATGTAAGTAAATATCTACATTTGTCAGAAAAAACAGTTAAATCAGTTTTTATTAGTCACTTGTTGATTACATTTCTGCCTGGCCGTGTCAAGAATGCAGTTTAAGTTTTCAATTGGACTAATTCCAGGGTTTAATCAAACTAATGCGAGGTATTCTCAGCCTGTGTGAATTTGTCAAGCATTCCAGTGATGTCAGTTATACTATATCACATTTCCCTAACATACCATCGTATGCCATGAATAACAGAAGCATCAAATAACGCAAAAGTATGTTGCTTGGTGTGAAGTCAACCCAGCTGAAGGAGGATGTTTTTTAGAAAGTTGGAAAACAAGAATAAAGCTGCAGTAGGCAGAAATACACAGGCTTTAAACACTATTAAAGCTCAAAGTCAGCAATCACTTGTGGCTTCACCTGGGATTTCCTCCTGAGTGAAACTCCTTTGTTATTCCCAGTTTGACACCATATTCTATTCTCATGTGGTTAAAAGCTCACCTGTACTTGCCTGAAGTCTCCTGCCACCTTCTCCCTCCCCTTTTCTGCAGCGCTGGTGGAGATTCTGCCTCGTCAAGCAGTCTGCTATTGACTATAGTGTTGAGGAGGAGGCGGCGGTGTGTCTGCAGGCAGCTTGGAGGAGCTACAGGGAGCGCAGGAAGTTCCAGCACTGGCGCGATTCTGCTATCATCATACAGAGAAGCTGGAGAAACTGCCGCCATCATAGGTTTCTGGCAGCTTCAACGATTCAGACAGCCTGGAGAGGATTCAAGGAGAGGAGCCGCTACTGTAGAACATACAGGACTGTGACGCAGTTACAGGCGATGGGCAGAGGATACCTGACTCGGCTCAGGTGAATGAAAGAGTTAATGTGGAGTCTGTAGGTGCAGTGGTTAGTTTGAGTAAGATAATGAGTCACTGTTTCTTTATATTATACATTTGAAATTATTTATTTGTGAATTTAATTTAAAAAGATTTAGGTAGAGATTTAGGTATAATAATGAGTGAACGTCACGTCAAACTAAGTTGTTTAATACACGTGTAGCAAACAATAGTGAACATAACATTTCAGTCACATACCTTATTCGGGCAATAAATATTGTAGGTTTTCGTTAAAGTCTGTGGAAACCCAAAACAGCTTCATACTGTGTGTTTCCAAATCATGTTGAGGTTTTTGTTCAACAGGCTTCTGTTTTCTGTGTGTTTGACATCTCGACCTGGATGTTATTGACACCTTTTTACTTCCTCACTGTTACTGTCCTCAGGTTCAAGGACCTAAAAGAGCAGCAAGAGGAAATCAGTAGACAACCAAGTCCACCAGTGGAGATGGATGCAAGCAATGTGGAGGACCTCACCTCATTGGGAGATCAAAGTTATGTCCAGGATTTCCCTGAAGAACTTTCCAAAGACTGTAAACAGGCTTCATTTGATGTGGCAGAGACAGAAAAAGAGGACGACTCAGAGCGAAGCAGGAGCACCGATGATACTAGCCACAAGAACAGATCAAAACGAGAGAGCAGGCGAATGAGAGAGCTGGAGCAGGCACAGTTTAGCTTGGAGCTCCTCAAAGTTCGAACCATCACTGTTGGGGGTTCACTACCAGAAGACCTGGTCCCAAACACCAGCGCCTGTCAGCTGGAAGAACATCACGGACATTCCCCGGCTAGTCATGGAAGTTTTGAACTGCTTAATGTGGAAGACATGGAGACTGAAGGTTCCCAGTTGATTGTGCCTCAAGAGCAACCTCAAACCATAGACGGGCAAATTCACGAGACGTTGAGAGATTCAAACCATAATGAAAAGCCTGTGATTGAGTCGCCAACCAAGATGGAGGGGCCGAGGGCGACATTTTATATTGCTTCTGACCAAAGTCCCATTCATGAACCAAAATTTGAAAGCCCGAGCAAATCACACAAAGAGAGAAGAGAGTCCACCTCTCGAAGGCCTGTTGTAGTGTTGATCAGTATGCAGAAAGAGAGTCCTGTGGATGAGGGAAAGCTGCTGGCAGCCCAAACCCTAGACAGAGCTCCTGAAACAGTAGTAGTCAGTTCCCAAATGACCCCAATTGCAGGCTTGGAGCTAGGATCAGACAGGGAACAGCCTCATGGGATTTCTACCCAGGCCAAGAGAGATGTATTTGGGGTGGACAAGTCTTTAAAGTTCCCCTCTTCAACCACTCCTGAAGAGAGTCCAGATGCATCAGGGCTTTGTTCCTCAGAGGTTGACATCCAGATTGTCCTTGAGCCGAAGTCCGGTGTTCCCGCTGTTCTCCCTAGCCAACAGGAGAGGAAGACGATCCGGCCTGCGCAGGAGGCTCCAAGCCCAGTCCTGGACACTAAACCACCAAAAGCCCAGAAAAAGAGCTCTGCCCAGACTGTGATTGTGAACATGGTGGAGAAACCCTCCAACACTGTGTTCTCCCCACCCAGACGCAAGCTGCCATTCTCCAAGTAAGTAAACTCCAACCCTGAAGGTTATAACCTCAGTTTAAAGATATCTGCGATCATGTCTATTCTATTCTATTCTATTCTATTCTATTCTATTCTATTCTATGTTGAATATTCTAAATCTGCTTTTATACTGTCTCAAAAGACATTGTGACTCTTTTACAAAATCCTTCTACACCTGCCATACCACTTCTTCAGAGCCCCAGCCACACATGTTGAATATTAAGTCTAGGGTCTTTTTACCCAGTTAAAATCTGATGCAATAAAGGCGTGTTGCTTGTACAAGTATGTTAGTTTGGAGGGCACCTGAGATCTTTATTAAGCCCTTAGTTGTTGGTTTAAATATATATCTTTTCCTGAAAATCTAGAAAAAGATATTATACAGTGTCCACAAAGTGGAAAAGCGTACTGTGGTCCACATTTCAAATTGTTTTTAGAGATCATGGACATTGTGTCCCGGACTAAAGAAGAAAAAGACCTAGATTGTTATCAGCGCAAAGTTCAGAAAAGAGCAACATATGCTGCCATCCAAGCAATGTTTTTTTCAGGGACGTCCCTGCTTAATTCAGCAAGACCATGTCAAGCCATGTTCTGCACGTGTTACAACAGTGTGGCTTCATAGTAAAAGAGAGCGTGTACTAGACTGGCCTGCCTGCAGACCTGTCTACCATTGAAAATGTGTGGCGTGTTATGAAGCGCAAAATATAACAACAAGAGACCCCGGACTGTTAAGCAGCTGAAGTCGTACATCAAGCACGAATAAGAAAGAATTCCACCTACAAAGTTTCAACCATTAGTGTCCTTATTGAGTGTTGTGAAAAGGAAAGGTGATGTAACACAGTGGTAAACGTGCCCCTGTCCCAGCTCTTTGGAACGTGTTGGTAGCATCAACTTTAAAATAAGTGAACATTTTCAGAAAAGCAATAAAGTTTATCAGTTTGAACATTAAACATCTTGTCTTTGTCACACAACGTCCTAACGTTACTGGAATTGCGGTTTGTAGTAAGAATAATGATACAGAAATCCCCACCCCGCAAGTTGACAGAATTGGTTCCTTATTTTTGTTGCATATGAAACCCTGGTTGTCTGAATCCATCAGTACACTGCAGCTTAGAAATGCTCAGCCACATTGTTGACTGCTTGTTTCACTCATGATGTGCTTTCTAGCATATGAAAAACACTATATGGACATGTCAGCAAGGCAAGTGAAGTGGTCATTCAACTGATGTAACAGTTAATTTCAGAAGTAGATGTGAGTCTTTTGGTGAGAACCTTCAAACTTCTAAAATGTGGCTGTGTATTGCAGGTCAGATAAGGACTTGGTGAACCAGGAAAGATCTCTTGCCATGTTCAGAGATGACTCCAAAACTGCTGGATCCAGAAACAGAGAGGTAGGACACATAGACATATGTGAATGTAATCACATGCTCTCTCATTGCAACTTAGTATTACTTTTGCAATCATTTCCTTCTTAAAAGATGTATCAGGCTTCAGCTGAGGTTTAACGAAATAACCTTTCACAGATTTTTACCTTTAGTTTTGAGTACTTTAAGGCTCTTTTCAGACATGGGATACGCAACAATGCTGCTTCATTAATCTGTTAAAGTAACAGTGTTCTGTATTTTGGATCGAGATCATTTTTAAGTTCATGTTCCTCATGGCTTTAATAACCACTACAGTGAAAGAGAGAGCCACCGTACGTGCGCATTGTCATCCAAGACGAGACAGTACATGAAGTTATGTATAATGCATAAAAATGCACTAATAAACAAAAACCTGAATCTAAACTAATAGCAGTTTCTCAAACTGTCCAAATAACCCACAGCCTAGTTTATTTGTGATTTCCCAAACGCTGAAAATTCTGTACATGTGTGATAATAATGTGATTACTACAAACAGTAAAAGTGAAATATTAATTGTGCTTTGTATTGTAATTGTATTGTTGTAAGTGATTAACCAGGCTGTTCATTTAGACATGAAGCTGACACGTTTACATGCTGTCAGATTAACGGAAAGAAGTGCATGTCTGAAAGGGACTTTAGTTAGTTCCAAGTTCTCATACAGATAGTTTATACACATACACACACACACAAATACACACATACACGCACACAGAGCTGATCTGTTCCTATGGTTGCCTGGAAGCAGGTGGGCCGCCCCGGCCCCAAAAAGAAAGCTCGAATGTCCCGGACCCGCTCCGACTTCCTCACCCGCTGTAACTCTGAAGGGGCGACTCAGTCTGATGACGATGATGAATACTACATCCCTGCCCACTCCCGCACGCTGCCCCCCTCCCTGTCTCCCCCACGTGCCCACCCTGAGGCTGACTGTCACAGTGACTCCGAGATGGTAAATACCGGATCTCCAGAGGTCTCCTGACCTCCAAACAAGTTTCCTGTCCACTTCGGTCCCCCCTTCCACCCGTTTCTCAGGTGGACCTGGCCACACGGCAGGGGGAGGAGCTTTTTAACCCTGCTAACCACACTTTTGTCATACTGTTTCACTACTGTTGGACCAAACAGATGTTTTTCTGCTAATATGCCAGCTCTTATTTTACAGTACTCATGACGGTGAAAAGATCTAAAATGAGTCTGTAGTGAATGGCCTTGCACGTCGCTTTAGTGGCTGCTGGTTTGAAAATAAGCCCCAGCTAAGCTGCTACTTCTATATATCACTCAGTTCCTCATCTCACAAACTTCTTCTTTAAAAGGATACATCAACATTTGTGAGTTTAATCACCTAGTTTCCTTCAGTTATCACGTGCCACATTGTGAAAAGGATTGCAATTTTTTACCCAACATTTAATCTGTTAATTCATTTATCTTTTTTTTTTTTAAAAGAGAGAAGTTAAGAAAAATTATTTTACAAAAGCACCACAAGTTAACATTATCAATTTGCTCATTTTGTCCCAGATCCCAAATTAATGTGAATTACAATTACATAAAACAGAGAAGAGCAACAAATCCTCACATGTTGGAAGCTGAATCAAGTAAATATTTGACATTTTTGCCTAATAAAAGACCCAAATGATTAATCAATGGCCTGGGTTTTTGTGAGGTGAAGCTTAATTCATTTTTGCCATTGCAAAACAGCAAATTAAACTGCAAGTGAAGAAGAAAACTTCTCACAGTGGCAGATGCCCAGAAGGAAAAATAAGGGTTAAAACTCAAAATGCCAGTGCATTAAGCATTCTATCCTGTGACTACTTCTTCTTTCACAACCCTGAATGGAGACCTTTACAGAACGCTCTTTTGTTTGACTGACAGCTTGTAGTCAAACACATTGTCCTTTCATATTTTGACCTCCAACAACTGCCTTGTCTTGAAAACAAAACATCACGCCTCATGTGTCGCACTGCACACCAACTGCTGCTCCTGCATGCTGGAATCGATACAACCTCAAGCAGAGAAACCTCTCTGTTACTAACGTCAACATTTTCTAACAGGATCCTATGAATTCTATTTCTCTGTCACACACTCTCAGTATCAGCAGTATTCACATTGATATTATTGGTTTCTTTAATTTCTTTAGATTAAATAGATGTTTGTGTATTTTTTCACTTGTCAGGAGCTTGAGTTGGACTTTACTTAAAGGTCCCATATTGTGCTCCTTTTCAGCAGATTAATGAAAGTTTCTCATGTACCCAAAATGTGTATTTGAAACTTCAGTTCAAAATACTACAAAGATGGTTCATTTTACCATGACTGTTCTGGTTTTAGGCTTTTTCTATGCAGGCTGTTTCAGTGTATGTAGCTTTAAATGTAGCTGAGATGTTGCTGTCTTCAGGAAGAAGACTCTGTGTCTGTGACTGACAGTGCGGCAGCTGATAAAGATGTGTGAGACCAGGACTTCCTGTCACTTTTGATTTCTCTCAGCAATCAGTTTGGTTTCAAACTGATCTAAAAGTTTCCACCATCTCAGAATGCCCTTCAGTTGTACAGTTTTTAAAAACCTCTGACATGTGAGCAGACTATCAAAGCTAGTGGTAACGTTGACTATATTAGCCAAAACTAAGCTAAAACTAGGGATTTTTCTATTGCTGTAGTAACATTGCCATCAGTTCCTCAGATGCTGGACATGCATGGAGACTCCTGTGTTCACTCTTGCAGCCAACAGCAGAACGTTTACTTTGCTTTGCTTGTGGCTGAGTTAGCAAAAGAAGCTCTAGCAAGTAAATAAACCTAGTGGACTGGGAATCAGCTGGCTCATCTCACAAGCAACTGGCAATGAGGGGCAGGATTATGCAAAGTTTGAGATAAACGACTATTGGTTCTTTAGCTGAAACGTATTTGCTCAGTAAAATCCTTGCTTGCTTGTAAAGCTTGGATGCTATCTAGTTGAGGGCGAGGAGATATAATAGAGTTAAATGTTTTCATGTCATCACAGCTTGTAGTATACACCTTACACACTTCACAACCATGAAACACAATAAAAACATACTGTCACCATATGGGACCTTTGATATGTAGTTACGTCCACGATTTATTGTAACAGTGTCATGTTATGTCATATTAAGTCTATACTCTATAGGATGTCGTAGAAAACAGACAGACAGCATCACTCAATAACATACTTTGCTCTTCATCAGGCTTGTCCTCCAGTAGTACACATAGAGGAACCAACCTCTGTTAAACAGGAAACTGAGTTCCTGGAGACTCTCACTGAACTCCTCCCATCAAAATCCACAGCATCCTGGACAAATCTGAACTCTGCCAGAGCCTCACCAGTTGACTAAAGTCAGTTTTAATATATTTTGAGCTCTTTTTTACCGTGCACCATTGTCTACTTTCTAGTCATCTCACAAAGACCAAAAGAAGATCCATAAGACCATGTCGTCAGGAGACCTGGGAAAGGTTGAGGTCCTGAGGAAAACCTCCAGTCAAGATGGAAGGTAGATCCCTAGAGCTGGTCTCTATACATCTACAGAAAAAAAGTCTGCTGAGTGGCGATATCATCAGCTTTTACTGTACCATAAGAAAAGATCATTGACTTGTTTAGTGTTAGACTAATAGAATCATTCACTATACCCTTGTAAGAATTTTGTTCCCATTTTTTGTGGTCCTTGTTTGTGTATTATTAAAATAATTGTTTTTTTTTTATTTAGCAGGATGAGAGGGAAGATGCGATTCTGGAGTAAGACAAAACACAGTGATAAAAAACTGTCGAGAGAGAAGCAGGCCAGCAGAAGTGACACTGGAGAGACTCATGGTAAAAGAAACAGATACACTCATATGGACAAATTAATAAGACTAGTTCTAGAGCTACTAACATGAATTTGCCCTGCAAGTAAATTATAGAAGATTTTCTGCCCTCCTCCAGAAGGTGTTCTGATGTCATAAAGAGAAATAAAAACGCAGCAAAGTATAGCATAAAGAATAACAGTAATGTAGCTCATGAAAAAACATTATTCCTTTAGGGAATTGTATCTGTCACCCTAGGATTAACGAAATTTACATTTTCTCTGTCTTTGTCTCCCAGAAGGTCTGTCTCCTCCACACAGTCCAGACTTGGAGGCAGCTCCATCTCGGGGGGTCAGGGACAGTAAGGAGAACAAGCAGCCGTCTCCTAAAATGATTAGGCGCCGCAGTGTGAAGATCAGCAGCATCGCTCTGGAACCTGCCCAGTGGCAGAACGACGCCCTGCACATCCTCACTTCAGCCCACGACTATCGCAGCATGAACGACTTCCTCATGAAGAAGGTCAGACAGCAAACATGTGCACACCTAACTAACACTAACACACATGAGTGAGGTTCACCCAAACTCCTCAGTACTTTATGTGGTTCCAGCCCCGGTAGTAATCCAGATTTGCTTCTAGCACACAGCTGATATTCTCAATCATTTTCAATAAATTTGTAAATTGTGCACCTCAGTTGTTGTTGATAAATGTCATTTTTACATTAAACTTACAATAGATGTAATAACAATGTGTAATGTCAAAGCAAAGACTTAAGTGATGAATTCTAAAAAACAAAATCACTGTTTATCCCTCTAGATTGCCGACTTGGATTCTGAAGATAGTAAAAAAGACACCATGGTAGATGTTGTCTTTAAGAAGGCACTGAAGGAGTTCAGGATCAACATCTTCAACTCGTACTCTACCGCCCTGGCAGTGAGTCCTCAATGCGCTTTCTTTCTTTGTTTGCTCTTAGCTGCTGGGAGCATCACATGGTACAGATTATACATCAATGCCCTTTCCTTTTTTAATCACCATCAGATGGATGATGGGAAGAGTATTCGTTACAAGGATCTCTACGCATTGTTCGAGCACATCCTGGAGAAGACCATGCGTCTGGAGCAGAGAGACTGGAGTGAGTCGCCAGTGAAGGTGTGGGTCAACACCTTCAAGGTCTTCCTGGATGAATTCATGACGGAATATAAACCCATGGAGGGAACCATCGGCAGGGTAAGAAAGTTATAATTGGATGGATTCATTAAAGAACAACTGCAGAATTTTTCTTTTCGCTGTTAAGCTTCACTTCATATTATTACTTTAAAATTTTCAATACTATGAATAATTGTAATGTCAACTCGTATTAATCCTTTACATGTGGTACACACAAAACACACAAGGTAACACATTTGTCTCTTTCTCTTCTCAGGCTCCTAAACGGGAGCGCAAGAAGTCGAGAAAGAAGGAAACTGACATTGTGAGTTGGAGATTTAGAAACGATTTGGTTTGAAAGAAGGCAGTTGGAAAAAAAACAAAAATAACTTTAATATTTGAACTGAAGTAACTGGTGGCTCTGCTGCCCCCTGCAGGTGGAGGAACACAATGGCCACATCTTCAAGTCCACCCAGTACAGCATCCCCACCTACTGCGAGTACTGCTCCTCCCTCATCTGGATGATGGACCGAGCCTGCGTCTGCAAATGTGAGGATTATCCAGACACAAACATTAATTTAAAAATGTAAATGATAATTTACAAAAAACAAAATGACAAGATGGTGCAGAGTGGGCCTGCATGTATGCTGACACTGCAATGTGTGCATGTGCAATTTTTCAGCTTTTCCTTTTTTTTTTAGAATTGTTTTTGTTTTCTATGCAGATGCACTGCCCTGTAAAATCACCCCAGTTATTTATGAGTAATTTATTCTTTCAAAAAAAGAGCTATTCAAATTATCTGATGAAAATTACTGTATTTTTTTTCATATTGCACTATATATTGCAAAAAGAAACCCTGAATATCACAATGACATTTTTTGTTTGTTTGTTTGTTTTTTCAGTATTGTGCAGCCCTACTACAGAACTTTACATATTTTGCGGCAGTTATGGAATTGTCAATTTCCCACACTGAATAGTTGTTTGAGAAATTCACAAGTTTGGGGGTTTGAGTTTGTTAAGAGCTTGTCTGCATCCTGGATTTGTAACAGCTAGTTTAGGAAGTCAGTCCTTGTCCAACATGCGACTGACATAAGTGTGAGATGGAATCTTAAAATTGACTTGTATCTGGTAATAATCATTCAGAAATTAAAATTTCCGAAAATAATGAATTCTGAATTTTCCACTAAAGAATTTGTGACAGAATTTGTGATAAATTCAAACGAAGGTAAAGACAGTATGAATAACAGAAAACGTCATATATCAGGTGCTTCTGGAAGATTCATTGACTTTAGAAACTGCGCACAAGTATATAAAGAACTGTTCAGTGTAATGTATCATCACTAAATGCTGTCAGATGTCACTTTTCAGTACTTGTTGATGCCATTATCCAACTACCAACTGCTCTCATTTTTCTGTCAGCAGCTTTGTTTTGTCCTTTTGTTTTCCATCTAAAAATGAGCTGCAAGTCTGCCCAGGATTACACACAGACACAGACACAGACAAATACACACACCACCAGCAGTTCCTAATGTTCTCCTAACTCACTTACCCACAGGCACTCACGCCTGTGTGTAGTTTTTATTTCCACCCACATGGCACATTACACCCCCTCCTACTCCTTTATCACACACACACAATACGCGTTGATACTCACAAAACTAACACACTTTCCCTGAGTGTCTGCAAAATTTGATTAAACCTCCTGCTCCTTTCATAAATCTGTCTTATATCTGGTTACTGAGCTCCATCTGCACTTTCTGACAGCGGCTCAGAGAGCAGATATCACACTCAAACCCTCTGCCGCCTCGCATTTACCTGAGTCTTTGACGTCGTCACTCACTGCAGCTGCTGTTGTCGTGGTTGTGAAAGGGTTGTCTAGATGCCGTCAGCCTGATTGTGTTGGGGTTTTTTTTTTTGTCTGCAGTGTGTCGCTACGCCTGCCACAGGAAGTGCTGCTCCAAGATGACCACCAAGTGCAGTAAAAAGGTAGGTGGATACTTTCTTGTCTTGATTCTGCAGTGTGCTTAAGTGTTGAAATGGATCAAGACAACAGCAGATGTGGACCAACTCAGTGTGATCTGAATACAAGGTTACAGTATGCCGGCAGTACTTCTGCTGGAGATGTAAACTAAACTTAAAGAATATTTATAAGAGAGGACTGTAACTGCTACTTTTCTGTGAAAATTCTGGTGATCTATTGAAAATGTATTCTTTATCTTGGCATAATATTCTGCCTTTAGTTTAAATCAGTTACAGTCACAACTATAAGGTTTGTGTCTAGAATCAAAAAGTTAAAAGATTTTGTCTATAAAAATTTGCCCATCATCCCTGTTGAAGTCATCTCATTGTGCAGTGATACAGAGCTCCCAGCACGCTCTCCAGAAGTCTCATTATGCCATCTGTGATGATCGCTGAATCCCCTAAACTTTGTCAAATCAGCAACCCTTCAGCTCAGATTTCTTTTTGGGGAAGAGAACAAAGTCACAGGCAGCCGAATCTGGTGAATGCAGCGGGTGGGTGGCAAAAATTGTGTTGTTGTGGCCAAAAAAACAGCATGTAGTCATTGGAGCATCCGCATGCCATCAGGCCGCTGTTCAGGTGTATGTTCTCCCTCAGACACTCAGGACGTCACAGAAGAACTCTGCCTTGACGGTCTGACCCTGGGGGGTAAAGTCCAGGTGCACAAACATGTGAATGTTGAACAAAACAACAACCGTGCTCCTGGTGCTCCTGATCTGATGCACTTTATCCAGTTTTGGAAACTGCAGATCTTTCACTGTGAAAGCTGCAGTTTCTTATCCTTTGGTGCTGTAGATCCACCTATCCTCCCGGGTGATGATCCTCGACCTGAGGGTTGGTTCACCTCTGCTGCTGACTGACACAGAATGGGATGTTTTCTTCTCTGCCCCAGTTTGTGGCCTACAGAGAAATAGCAGATGCACACTTACCACCCGTTACACAACTGTGTGTGACACCAATCCTGCTATTGATATGGTGGTGATTCAAGGCAGTTGCTGCAACAACATGTGCGAACGTGTTGCACCATGAGCAGTCTTGGAACTTTTGATCACCTCTCACATGAACCTGTTTCTAATTAGAAAGAAAATTCTCTCTTTGAAACAGCAAACTTTAGGTACATACAACTGTATAATGGACTTTACTGAGTGGGTTCCCTGACTTGATCCTTTATTTTAAAGATTGAATTGTTACTGGTCAACCAAGCCAACCATTTAAGGTTCTGCACAGTCGGCCCACTGGTGTATTTCTGTGTTTGTGTTTTTGTAAGTATGACCCGGAGCTGTCGTCACGGCAGTTTGGCGTGGAGTTGTCCCGTCTGACCAGTGAGGAACGCACAGTGCCCCAGCTTGTGGAGAAACTTATCAACTACATTGAGATGCACGGTCTCTATACAGAGGGGATTTACAGGAAATCAGGCTCTACCAATAAGATCAAAGAGCTCCGACAGGGGCTGGACACAGGTGAGAGTGACACGGACCCCAAAACCCATAAAACATACATGTACATTCAAATGGTTTTATTTCATGTCTTTGAGGCATTTTTACATTTCATACATCTGATGTTTATGGCCAGTTAATTTATTTAGCACCACTGCAGTGACAGCGTATTTTTCAAAGCCTATCTGTTGGACATATTATGTGTTTGTTGGATAGTGATTGTGGTAAAAGAGAGGAAATGTGTGGAAAGAAACTAGGGCACCTGCAGCCTATGGTCTGGCCAGCCAGGAATCAAAACAGGGGTTTGCTGCTCAGGATATTTACACCAATGTGGTATGCGCCTTGATAACCACTCAGCTATCAGACCAGTGCAATGAAATGCCTGACATTTAAAAGTTGCTTGTGTCAGCTAAAATGTGGAAAGAGAATTAACTTTTACAACAGTTGTCAGCCACACTGTCGAGTCTTTGAGGCTGAACTTATCAACATACTAACATGCTGATTTGCTTATTATTGCTAAATGCAAAGTACAGCTAATACAGATGGGAATGTCATAAAACCAAAGTAATGAACAAACTGAAATTTTGATGATGAATAAAATTTTAAATATCACTAGAATTCAGTCAGGGAAACATATCTGTCCAGGCAACTTTCATGACAGTCTATTAAATAGTCAAACAACAAATAAAGCACAAGTCCAAACTTCTTGCTTGTCATCTTCCAGATAACACAGATGTCTGACCAAAGTTTCAAAACAGTTGTTATTTCAGGGCAGACGAAACAACAGATAGCAGCCGATCTAAGAAAAAAAAGAAACAGGAAAGAAATGTTACATTTATTTGTCTGAACTTATCTTCCTCCCCCAGATGTAAACAGTGTGAACCTGGATGACTACAACATCCATGTCATTGCCAGCGTGCTCAAACAGTGGCTCCGTGACCTGCCCAGCCCTCTCATGACCTTTGAGCTGTATGAGGAGTTCCTCAGAGCCATGGGTAAGCTCATAATTAGGCCCCTCAGTCACCCCTTATTGCTGTTTTTCAGGCCAGACTCCTCCAGCTGCAAGTCAGTTTCAGAAGACACACTAGCCTGAACTCTGTGGTGTGTGTATTTTCATTTCTCCTTTCAGGCCAGCCAGACAAGCGGGAGGTGATCCGAGGAGTGTATTCGGTGATCGACCAGCTCAGCAGGACACACCTCAGCACGCTGGAGCGCCTCATCTTCCATCTGGTCAGGTAAGGAATGAGATAAGAATCAACTTTAGCAGCTGAGCTGCAGGCAAGACAGCCCAAATCTGAAAATGAGGTTTTGAAATAAGATCTGAATGATGTTTTTGCCTTTGAGCAAAATGTCTGTGTTGTCAGCTTTGAAAAATCTTGGCTGCAGTGGTTTCAGATTCTCTTTTTCACTAGATATCAAAAACACTCCCGGTCACACACTGTCCTCTCAGTGTTGTGCTTGATGGGAATGGGTGTTATACTCTGGAAGGATCAACATCAGGATTAACAGGATTATATTGTGGTATGTTACAGGATCGCCCTGCAGGAGGAGACAAACAGGATGTCGGCCAACGCCCTCGCCATCGTTTTCGCTCCTTGCATCCTTCGCTGCCCCGACACCATCGACCCACTGCAGAGTGTCCAAGACATCAGCAAAACCACTGCGTATGTCCAGAAACAATTCTATCTTTTAAAATATTCATATTTAAAACCAAGCTGGGTTTGTGCTAAAACGATCTCTCCATTATCAACATAGAGTAGTTACTCTACAGTTTTGTTTTGTTTTTTTTAATACCTCACGTACAATTTTCTTTTCTATTTTTGTTTTATCAAGGAATATTACTTCTGTTTTCCATATATTATTTTACATCATGTTTCAAGTCATTAAAGTAATCTGTAATGTGGAAGACACATCTGACCAGACACATCATTAAAATGCTGTTTAGCAGTGATGTAAACAGGAAAGATTTCAAATTACATTTCAATGCAACATATCTCAAATTCTAAAAGACTCTTTCCTCTGAGTTTAATAAATATTTGCAGCATCACACCATATGAATGTTTCCAAAGTGAGGGAGTTGTGTACATTTACAAACGGTACAATAGCAGAAACTTCATTAGTTACTTATAATTCTAAACTATTCCCACATTAAGACAGAACTGATCAGGACCTAAAAGCAAGTCACACTGTATGCTTTTCATCACATCAGACCAATGAGCTGTCACACATGGACAGTTTATCAGCTGCAGTTAAATCATCTGTTCCACAGAAGCCATCCTCAGGTTGAGTCCTGACCTCCGTCCCAGCTGTCGGGATGTTTTTATTTGTAAAGCATACGTTAGATCATCATCACACATGGACAGAGTTTTTCGTGTTTAGAAAACCATAAATAAACTTGGCTGCTGTTCATGTAGAGTTCTAATTTTGTTTATTAGAACATTGTTATTCATTATACGTCACCTGATGTGCTGTCCAAACAAAATATCACACAGAATGCTGTCACAAAACAACAAATTGATGAAGCCAGAAAAGTAACATATCCCAAGTCTGAAAAGAACTCTAGCAACCAGTTTACATACATTATGCCAACATTTTCATCACTGGTTTTAAATTAGCAATAAATATTTGCATGTAAAAATATAGTAACAGATTTACAAATGCCCCTTGCCACCATCTCTGGTCTGTAGGTGTGTGGAGCTGATCATCAACGAGCAGATGAGCAAGTACAAAGCTCGTCTGAAGGACATCAGCAGTCTGGAGTTTGCAGAGAGCAAAGCCAAGAACCGACTGACCCACATCAGGAAGTCCATGGTAAGACTCAAGCTATCACAGTCCTCTGAATAGCCCTTAAAGCCTGTCGGTGGATGTTTTTGCTGCTTGTTCCTCTCACTCATCATCTAAATGGAAACAGCTGGCATGGTTTTCACACAGCCATGGCAGGAGTTCATTCCTCTGTCCATCTTTCATCAACAGATTTTGCTGTGATTTAGTTTTTCTTACGCAAGCAAAAAAGCTGACGAAAAACACACTCAGTGGGATGTGATTTAAACATTTCCACAACAGGTCACAGTAACTACATTTATAACTGTTCTGTGTTAATTCCTCCGTTATCAATGCCTGTTTCTTCTTCAAGCCTCTAGCTTACAGTGACAGAAGATGGCAACACCTACAATAATTTATCTTTGCTTTAAAGAGAAATAACGTCCATGTACAAAACACAAAGGATGTAATGTAAGAAGTAGCATAGTGAACTGAAATATCTGTTGCCGATGTTCTAACTAATACATTCCAATAATAAATACTATGGGAAAATCAGCATTAAGTGAAACTGAATTCCAACATCCTGGAAAAATAGCTGATGTTTAATAACACTGAAAAAAATTCAACATGGTTATATGACTGCGTTAGTCTTGTTTTAAATTTTATTTTTACAGTAGGTTTTAACTGTAAAGTACTATGAAAACAAACAGCTTTCTTTTGTGGCTGCACAGCAATAGAGAAGTAGCTAGTGCCTACCTCTAAATGCAGTGTGTAACCTTTTTACTACATCACAGGAGATGTAATTACTGTGCTCTCTAAGGAGCATCATGCTGTGTAATATGTATTTCGGGCAGCCATTAATCGGAAAGATGACGCTAACCAAATTCCTCCCGAGGCCAAATGTATCTAAACTTTCCAAGGAGGCATGGTTTTAATGATTTGTAGGTCTAGAGATAGCTAGACTGGATGAAACTTGCCAAGATTATGTTGTAAAGTAGCTATATTTAAATGTGTAGTTGATGAACTGGCACGTCTTAAAAGATTTCTCTCTTCAACGTAGTTTAACTCTGTTTAATCTAAATAGCTAAACATATTTTGAACTGCAAATGACCAGATCCACACTATCACGGTTACCTTCACCGCTCCCTAATCTGTCCTTCCTTCCTTCCTTCCTTCCTTCCTTCCTTCCTTCCTTCCTTCCTCTCCCCTACCCCTCCTTTCAGAAACCCGTACTAATTGCTGTTAGGTTTATGAGCATAACCCGCACTGCCACCCCGGTATGTATGCCCCTCCCACACCATGTTCCCGCCCACCACCAGTCCTGTCCGTCTATTTGATCCGTCCACTCATCCTGTCCGTAACATTAGTACTCGTCACGTCTGTCTGTAAACTAGTTCTCTGTTTGGTGTCTGACGCTTTATTTGTGTTGTTGTTTTGTTACCTTACCAGTTGGTTTGTCGGCATATGTTGTTACGCAACACTGCAGGCATTATCATATGGTCCTTTGTTTAACTACAGAAATGTATGTCACGCGTTCTGAACCCAAGGAGGTGGAGGTTTTTGCTCCTGTTACATTTTTACTTATTGTAGACTCATTTTCACTGCAGTATAAAGTCCTGCACCTCTACGGAAACAGCACAAGCATGACAAGAAGTAAAGGGAGCTCAAAAATGTCCTCTGAGTCACCTGAGGCTTTAAAGTTGTGACTTGTGTCGCAGGATTTTGAGTTTCTTTTACAGACTCAGCTTAATTCCAAAGTGTTATTTTTTGGTTGAATTTTAAATGAGATGTCGATTTTGATGAAGTATCAAAAATACAAACTTAGATAGAGACACAGACAGACGGACGGATGGACGGACGGACGGACGGACAGACAGACAATTTGGTAAATTTCATTACTGTATTTTGAATAAACTTGCCTTGGTCATGCACATACGACCATGGCACTAGACGGAGGACACTGATTGTGTGGCACAAATCCTTACAGAATTAAAGATTACTATCAAAAATGCAGTGCAGGCAGACAACTTTAGTATCTCAAGATGTGAGACGTATGTTTTGACTTGGTCATTGTCACTGACTATATATAAAAGATGGATGTAGCCACCGTGGTCTATGGACTACTGGCCTGGATTTCGGCATTTGACCGTTGCAATCGTCCTCTTTTAAACCAAGTGGTGAAAAGTGAAAGGTGGACTGAGAACTTGAGGATACTACGCACAGCGATACAATAGCAACTTGTCAATCACAAAATAGCCTTGCCCTAAAATATGCCCAACTTTACAGTCCATTTTACTCTAAGTGGGAGCATAATGTACAAAATGAACATCATACTGTATTGAAAGTGACTTGGAATACGCAATTGTTACAATAAATTTATCAGGAAAATGTTTCCTGCAAAAAAAAAAAAAAAATAGAGAAGTAAGGTCCACAGAAGGACCTCACTTTGTAACCGGAGGAGTCGCCCCCTGCTGGCCATTAGAAAGACCGCAGGTGTAAAGCATTTTGGGCTGTTTACATCTGCAGCATAGACTGTATAAAAGATTGACGTAGCAACTGGGCCTGAAAAATGAAGCCAACCCGGAAGTGTCAAAAACCTGCAATATCACTCTGTCCGCTAGTCCTGGCTCCAAAAAGCCCTGGCTCCCATAGAAATGAATTGGAAAAGAAGTGATCATAGATTACGAAATACTGCATTCCTCCAGCTCAGGATTTTTAAAAAAAATTAGTTTTCATGGTCAAGTCCAGAGATCAGGTGGCCAATCTGAAAAAAATCAATACTGGATTTTTAAAAAATCGTCAAAATTTTGTGGGGGCAAGGGGCGTGGCTGGCTTGATTGACAGTTGGCAGTGACCATACAGATGAAGCGAGCAGAAGGCGGTAAATGTGGGCGGGCTTCATTTTCTCAGTGCAGAAACCAACGGGTGACGTCACGGTAGCTACGTCCATCTTTTATGCAGTCTATGATCTGCAGCTGCAGAAATAATGGGACGAAATGCCCTGATGCGACCCTTCAGTCTCCGATGTTACTGAGTTTACTGACAAACTCTAACTAGCTAGCTACCTCACTAAAATCAGCAAGCCAATAAAATCAGTCTGACTGTAGTCATAAAGTAGGCTTCGAGACACAGCTACCGCTAACGTTGATGAACGGACTTGTGCTTCTTCTTTCTCAGATAACGTAGCTCTGTTGTTGGAAGAGTTTTCATAGTGGTGTTTTTGTTGTTTTGTCTGACAAGTTTCTGTGGAAATCAAGCCAAGCTAACAGCTCAGTGTGTTCACCTACATGCTTCAGTTGCTTTTAAGATAGGTGTGGTGTGACTGCAGCAGTAACTGTGGTTTTGTCTTTGCTTAATGTTTATGTTTGTGGAGAACGCTTAGAGAGAGCATCCCTCTAACAGAAGCTCCACTGATTGCTTTTTGCTTTCTGTTTCTGCTTCACAATGTATTAACATGCAGCCTAACACAGCTAAACTTAAGGTAATGCCTACCTGTGTGTATGTGTGTAGACCAAGGTGTGTTTGTGTGTGTGCATAGTGACAATCAACAACAGAACTAATAGTTTTTTTAGTAGTGATGTCTTGATCTGTATGTTTGTATAGTCAGTATGTGGTGAAAACATCCAACCGTGTCTGTAGCAAGTCCATAGCTCCATTACTGTCTCTGTTAACAATGCACAGCGTGGTCATCCACACTCACTCTATGATTCGTGTGTGTGTGTGTTTGTGTGTAAACTCACAGGGCAAAAGTCGTGTCCGGCAAAGCAGCAGCCACACGCCCTCACCTCCTCTCAGCCCCCGAGCTCCCTCTGTGATGGACGGAGATGCTGCAGGAGGTGGTGGAGGAGGAGGCGGAGGAGGAGGAGGAGGAGGAGGAGGAGGAGGAGAGGATGCAGCAGAAGCCAGGCTCAACGAACAGCAGCAGCTGGCAATGCAGCAGGAGGAGCGAATCCTCACAGAGCAGATTGAGAGTCTGCAGAAAGAAAAGTATGCCATGTTATCCACTTTAGCTGATGCGTTGTTCAATCAGTGGTGCAAATAGTGCTTTTTCCTCTATCAGACAGATTGTTCTTTCTTGTTTTTTAGTCTATACCTTGCATCTGTGTGTTATAAGGACCTCTTAGATTTGCAGGAAGTGACATGCCTCAATATTTATTGAGTTCAAATGTAAATGAGCTGCTTTGAATGAAGCACCAGTTGACCTTTAATGTCTCGGCAGAGAGGAGCTGACGTATGAAATGTTGATCCTGGAACCACGGGCGTCTGATGACGAGACTCCTGAGTCTGAAGCCTCCATCGGCACAGCAGACAGCTCTGAGAACATCACCATGGAGATGGAGGGAGCCACCTCAGACCCCTCTGGTATGTGTGTATTTGATATGCTGTTCCTTCCCTGCAGCAGGTACTGGGATATAAAATGATAGAGTTTATTTCACATTGACACTATAGCTGTGCTTAAAGGAATAGTCTGGTTTCTTTGAACTGGAGCAGGGGTCTGCAACCTTAAACACTCAAATAGCCATTTGGACCAGGAGCCACAAAACCCTTTTGACATCTAAAATGAAGATAACACTGCATATATCGTTTTTTTTTTTTTACCTTTATGCTATGTATAAAAAAACTATAGTGTGTTGCATTTAAATCAATGAACTGTTACAGAGAAAACAATATTTTATTTCTGCATGTAACAAAAACATTTTAAACTCAGAAAAAAAAAACTGGGTTGAAGGTTACTTTCAAATAAAATACTCAATGTCTATTTGAATCCTCCTAGTATATATGAAATAAAAAGCCAAAGTCAAAATGACGTCTGATGTCGTTGGCCTGCTGACTGCAGCTGAGACTCCTGACCAGACTCCTGACCGCCTGTGAGCGCTTTGGGATGGGAGGAGCTCACAGCAGCACCACTGCTTGCTGAGGACAGTAACTGCAGAATGATATGGGTTTTCATGTCAGAGTCTCCAAAACAGCAGAAAAGTCTCCAATAACACCAGAGTCACTAGATTTGTCGCTAGTTGCTTTTGACAAAAAAATAAATAAAAAATTCGCCAAGGGGATTTGGAAAGTCGCCAAATTTAGCGAGAAAGTCACCAAGTATGCAACAATGCGCATGCCGGCAGGTGTCGCACATAGGCGATTGTGACGCATATTTTGAGCAACTAAAAATTAAATGCGTTTTATTTTAATGTTACAAGATCACCATAATCTTCTAATTTAGAATTCCATTTTAAAAACTAACAAACTAAAATAAAATACATTTAAATTAAATGATCATTATTTATTTTCCAAAGCCACAAGGAGCCACATCAGAGATATGAAAGAGCCACATGTGGCTCCAGAGCCGCGGATTGCCATCCCCTGAGCTGGAGTGTATGAGGCACTTGTCCAGGGTGTGTTACTACAGTGGATGGCGGTCCTTGCAGAGTCATTCGGGTCACGCCAATATCAACATGTTTGATCTTTATGAGGTGAAATCTAGATGGGTGTGAGAATTACAGAAGTGCTCAGAACAATACACACCATTCTGTACCACAGAATGTTCTGACCATGTGAGACTACGTACAACCCCACTTCAAAGGAACCAAACTGTTCCTTTGATTTCATCAAAGTATTGGCATAATTACAGCAGTGTAAAATTATTGATTATCACATTTTTTAGTCCATTTTCAAAAATAATCTGTATCACATAGAGTTAAATGATCAGTTTTTAATAGAAAGACAAGAAAGACAGATTCTTGGCTGACAAAAGCTTATGTGTTCATTTATCTTGGACTTCCCAGCCATGACCCAAGCAGCTCCAGTCTGGAGGTTGATGCACCACCTCAAACTGCCTGATACAAAAACCAAGGAAGAACAGCATCCTCACTTCTAATATTAGAAAACTATCCATAGAATGTGTTTTTAATCTGTGCCGTGTTAGTATGATGTGTTTTTAATGCCTGTCTCTCTCCACAGAGCGCGGCACATACCGGTCCAGAAAGTCCGAGGCAAAGAGCAGACGAGCTCTGCGCCGCCAGCCCGACTCCCAAGACTCAGCAGACTCTATCTCCACCATCTCCTCCTCCTACCACCCCTCCTCCTCGCTCTCCTCCAACGCCTCCGGTTCTCCATCCCCTCACTATCGATTCCGGTCCTCCTCCTCCGGGCCCCTGCTCACTTCCTGTGGCTTGGGGGCACCACTGGCAGAGGCAGAGGGGGGCCACAGAACCAGCAAGACGCGCCACAGGCTCAGACTGAGCCGCAGCTCACCACGCGAGCCCTCGGGAAGCCACCGGAGGGATTCTGACTTCAGCTCTGGGCCACAGCAGCTGGTTCTTTACGGCAGCAATGAGTTCATGGTGTGATGCTGAGGAAGGACGGAACGCCACACGCCACCTTTTTGAGTGCAGGAGGATGTGTGAGAGGGGGAGGAGGGAGAGGCTTGAATGAGGCTGGTCACTGGGCGACAGTTATACACCCAGTGTGGCCTGCTGCCCCTCCTTGGCACACACACCCCTCCTCCTCCGGTCCAGTCAAAGCAGAAACATGTGGCAAAAAAAAGAGGACTGAGGTTTGACACAGAGGGACGAAACAACAGATGGTCAAAGAAATGTGAACGGCAGAAAGGTGGAGGACAGAGACATGAGCGATCGTGTTTGTTGACCCTCTGATCTGAGCACTGTTTGACCCCTGCTGGAGCCCTGGGGGTTGGTCAGAGGAGAGAGAGGAGACGAAGGAAGGGAGGGGTGGTGAGACGCAGATAAAGAAGCCTACACCTGCAAAGCCAAATCATACAGTGCCCCGTCTTTATTTTTTAGCATGTGGGCAGGTGGTCAGAGCCACCCAGAAGAAATGTAGCCATACTGACTGAACTGGTGGACATTTTGTCTGTAACCAGCGCCAAGCTAAGTCTGCTTTTCACGTTTACACAGAACACACCAGCCATGAGGCTGCATGCTTCTCCATCACACCTTTTCCTACATCAGTTTGAAGAGACTGTCGAAATCTTTTACAGCTGTATGTTGCATATTATTATTATTATTATTATTATTATTATTATTATTATTATTATTATTATTATTATTATTATGTTACAGAGGATAAAAGTGTACATAGAAAGTGCAGTGCTGCTCCTGGGTTGTTCATCGTTGAATAGTCTCTATTTCCTGTTTTGCAAAGTGAAGTGTCTGGAATTCAAGTTCCACTTTTGTTTCTGTGCTGGTTTTACTAGGTTTACCGCCGGTTTTTCTCTTTTCCCGTTTCACAGTGAACAGAAACCGTTATGGGATATTTGCTTGAGAAAAAATCGAAGGAAAAGTTGCTGATCTACGCTTGGTGTCAGGTGTCACGCGACTTGACCTGAAGTTTCAAATGTCAGTCAGCCATAAGTGTTTGGTATTTGCCTTTCCCTGCAACCTTTAATTACTTTCTTCTTTTTATTTCAGAAACATCAGTGTTACTGCAACAGGACTTGAATTTTTTAATATATATTATTGCTGTATTATAGGTGTTGTTATGGATAACAAAGATGTCATGTTTTAGTTGTCAATATTATTTAATGTTTTGTTTTTGTTCAGATGAAAGCCATTTTTTTTCTCTCCTGCCTGTATTTGCGTGTGTGTCTGAATTCCTTCCATTGTGTCAGCGGCCCTACACACGCCTGCACCAGTGTCTCCCTGTTAATGTTCTTCATAGAAGGGTGAAAAAAAGGCTCCACAGCATCAAGAAACACTAAAACTAACTGACTTAAGAAAAGGCTTCATTAGGCTGAGTTTCATTGCACCTGTGGAGCAACTGTTGCACTCATCTGCACGCTCAAACCGTCCATGATGTCCTCTGAGCCATGCAAAGTACTCTCTTCTTCTTGTTCTTCTTCTTCTTCCTCGCTCTTCCATCCTCTTCTCTCCCGGCTCTGGCTGTGAAAAGTAGCATTTAATCTGCGTGTTATCCAGACAAAAACTCGTAGCAACTAACTCAGACCGCCTCCCTGTTTTTGCATATTCTTAACACTCTTTCTCTTCACACAGTATCGAAACAGTCGGTGTAACGTCGAGTTTTGTGGGCCTCTACTCAGTAGCTTAAGAGCAATGATGTCTCCGTACTGAAGCTGCAATAGCTCTCCTTGCTTTCTGCGTCTCTGATCAGATACTCCTGAGTGACCTTTGCCCAGATCTCAGCACACAATCAGTGTTAATTTCCTTGAAGCTGGAAGTCTCAGCGATGACTGTGCTGATCTCAGTTTTAATGCAGGTGTGGAGACTTGCAGCATTGTTTTTGTTTTGTTTTTTTTACAACATAAACTGTAGACCTGTTCAGGCAAAAAGTGAGCTGAAAGGACAAAGCTGATCCCTGGTCGGATATCTTTAAGCGGATATTCGAAAGGGGAGCTGTTTGTGGTGTATGTTAAAGCTAAAGCTGTCCATATGGCATTCTGCAAGGAAAAAAAAAAAGATAAAGTGAATGTACCTGTCACTGGAAGGCATGCTCTGCTTTCTCTGGTTGTTTTTGTTCCTCTTTTATACACAGTGTATGTACTATTTATGATCATGCTTTTGGGATGTACATTGGTTTAAAAGAATCTGTTATAAAAGGATATATTATCCTGTGTACGGTTCATTATCTACTATTAATCATGACAACATTTTAACAGGCCACACTCGGTCAGTCATTTTTGTGCTACAAAGCGAAAAGAAAAAAAGAAAAGCAGTGTGTCTGTTTGTCTGCGCCACTCGGGACACAGTTATGTATATATAAGGTGCAATTTGTGTTATATTTCTTTTTTTAATGATATAAACATGTCTATGGTTGTAAGAAAAAAAAGTCTTTATGGGGAAAAATTCATCTGCTTATTAAAAAAGCAAAACTGCAGCCAAACACAGATGAGTTGTGTCATCTTTTGCTCCACAGACACAAATGCAGCTTTGAATGGACATGATTATTTCCATCACATTAGTGTGTCTTCTTTGAAACACCATCTTCCATTTGTCAGTTGTTATATCTGCACTCAGAGACCGCAGCAGATGAGATGAAGGAATAACGGGCCTTTTATGGCCTGGAGGCAGCAGCAGCTTCCTCTGGTTCCTTGATGAAATCAGCTGCAGCCAACCAGGGAACCTGCAGCATTAAAGAAAACACACCACAACACAGCAACAACTTTGGGAGTCCATATCAGTGTTGTGTATCTCCTCCAGGGCAGCATTCTATGACTTCATTTTCTAACTGCCTGTGGTGTCTCAGCCCAGAGCTTCGTGGTTAGTAATGTTGTTAGTTTAGTGTAGTCATCGACTAAATACCACTGTGTGTCTTCTCTTGTTCACCAGCTGGTCTTTATTTCAAGATAGTCCTGCCTTTTTTCCTTTTTGTTAGGTTACAAAGAGATTTTACAATTATTTCTACTGCAAGAAAGCTCTTAACACAATAGAACCAGCTTCATCCTCAGCCTGGCAGCACACTGCTGGACCTCTGCCTGACTACTCCATTTACAATTTCATTTGAAAGGGGCGGGGGATCAAACCACCAGCCTTGATATTAGAAGACAACCGCTCTACCACATGAGCAGCAGCCATTTATGTTTTAATTTGAGTGATCATTTCTACAGACAAAACTGCAACCCATTTCTATGCAGAATAAGGAAAGCTGAGCACTGAGATCCTTCAAAGGAACAACTGGCAGCCACTGGTTCAGATATGTGGATGACACCAGAGTCACAATTAAAGCCCAACAAGTAGAAGCCTTCACAGATCAGATGATCTCGGTGGACAGCAACACAGGTTCACAGGGGAAGGTGTGAGGGAAAACTAACTTTTTTGAACTCTGCTGAGGAAGACAAAAGCATCAAGTTAAAGTTTACTGGAAACCTCCACAGTCAGACCAATATATGTTGTTTGATTCCCACCACACACTGGAACATCAGCTGGGAATCATGAGAATGTCCCTAGAAACTGAGCAGTGACATTCAAAAAGCACTGAAAACCTGGGACTGTCCCAGCTGGGCCTTAACAAAGTCAGCAGAGAGATCTAGAAAAACAGCACAACATCAAACAGAGATGAAAAAGAAGAACAGCCAGGATAATACTGTAACGCCTACATAGCTGGTGCAGCTGAGAAACTGAGGACTTTCTTTAAACACAACACTCACTTCACATCCAGCAACACATTACTTTGTTCTGATCTGCTTCAAACTTGATAAGCAGATGTGCAACAACTATTAATGTGAACTGATTCAAAATAGCATCACCTTAAGTAGCTGCTTTACCTCTAAGATGAACAGGACGACAATTGTCCTCATGTAACATCAAACACTAACAGTTAGATTTACTGTATTTAAAAATAGCTGCACAGTAGGAACTCAGTGCAGCAAGAGTCGGTGCACGTTTCATTACTGAGATTCCATTTTTATTTTTCCGATTCTTTGTATGTCCATCTTTATTTTTGATAACAAACTTCCTCTGCATAGAGAATACCATCCATCCATCATCTATACATCGCTTTATCCTCTGCAGGGTTGCAGGGGGCTGGAGTCTATCCCAGCTGACTCAGGGTGAAGACAGAGGACATCCTGGACAGGTCACCAGTCTATTATAAATAGAGTATACCAGATTTCTGAAAAGATGTTTCATCATTCTCCATAAGACTTTTTTTTCACCTGCTTCTTGCTGGAGGACTTGTGTTGATGTCTTTCTTTTTAAAATATCCCAAAAGTGTTCTATTACGTTGAAGTCATATGACATACTTTGCCAGATCACAGTTTTCAGTTTCTTCTTCTTCTCTAGAAGCTCTTGTGTGATTCTGGCAGTGAGCTTTTGATCGTTATCATGCTGCAATGTTCCTCTTCTGCCAAACCTTCTGCAGACTTGAAGTCATCTTGTTTACTAACAGTCATGGTGCATCTATAAAAATCGTCTCTCCAACACACTGTCTGACCTGTTCATCCACCTGAAGACATAATCAGTGATGCGTTCTGGGGCGGCGGGGCCATGGAGGCGTCGGCTCTCCCACACTTTCGACCCACATTCTTTTTAAGTCATGGATCACTGAAGCACATGGAATGTTGTACTTGTATGTTTTCAGGTTGCACTGAATGTAATTTGGGATTTTGCAGGAACATCAAAACACTTACTGAAGTCTTATTTTCTGCCCGAGGTGGCTGTAACGTCACATTCTGTCTTTTGACTTCATGTAAGTAACTGCAGTAGAAACAGCTGGTGCCTCCTCAAATTGAAAGTGATGTGCACGGAGTCTGAGGATAAATATTGTTCTGTGTTCTTCTCCACATCTAACGGGTCATCTGTTCCTCGCAGGAAATATTTGTATTAAAGCTTCTCTGATTGAATTTTGATCTTCATCAGAGCCATCAGAACTTTTTTTTAGATAAGTGGAACCTTCACACAGCCTAAAACTGTTTTTAAACTGGAACTGAGTAAGACAAGTGATGACCCACACACACACACACACACACAATTTACATGAAAATTTTTATTTCAAAAATGGCAAGGGGAAAAATATACAAAGAAATAAATGAACGTGGAAATAAATAAATGAATGATATTAATACGGTAATGATTATCATGACTACATATCACTAACAAATTGCGGACTGCTGAAGCTTATAGGGAATCCAGATGTTTTGGATTGTTGGGTGTTTCTGTTTCTGTTTCTGTCTTTGTGAAGCGCTATGAGATGACTTGTTGTTGTAAATATGCGCTATACAAATAAAATTGAATTGAATTGAATTGAATTGAAAATGAGGGAATGTCTGTATTTGTGTTTGTCTCTTCTGCACTTTTCTCAACAGCCATTCAACATTTTTCTTTCTGGAAAAAAAAACATAAAAATTACATTACCTTTAAAACGATCCCTGACACTGAGAGCAGATTAGTTTGGTACTTCCAGCTGGTTAGGACTATTTCCTGTAGACAGTTGTGTGGTGCGCATTTACAACAGTAACTTCATTAATTGATGATGATAATAAATGATCCTTGGCATGGAGAAAGGACTGATCGGGCTCTAACAGCAGGTCACACTGTAGTTTTCTTCCTCTCAGGCAGATGATCTGTCACAGAGACACAGATCCTGTACAGCTGCAGTTGAATCATTTGCTAAGTTGTGGTCCTCCACGGGTTGAGTGGTGAGCTTTAAGTGTCACTGTTTGATCATAGATAAACTAAATTGGTAGTTATTTGGACAGTTAGATAAACTGCTGTTGGATTAGATGTAGTCTTTTGTTTATCTCTGCAGGGCTCAGACATGCCTGTGTGTATTTCACACTCCCGCCGTCAGCTCAGTGCGGCTCTGTCTGTGTCCTGTAGGGGGCAGCAGCGTCCTGAAGCGCCGGAAGTGACTTTGCATTTTAGTCAAGAAGAAGGCACCAGTTTAAAAACACGGGGAGGGACACTTTAGTGGTTTAAATTAACAGCGGTATGTACAGAATTAGTGCTGCAGTCTACCGGTGGTTTGTTTATTTGACCAAACATTAGTGTAGCTGTCAGATTTCAAACGTTATTTAACCGAGACGTGATGCACAAAGAAAGCGCTGCTCAGTCTCTGGTGTTCTTTGACTTGGAGACGACTGGATTGGGTACGATACTGTTTCATTTATTTACTGATTGACTCATGTTTGGCTCACACAGCAGCCTGCGATCATTTCACGTGTGTTGCTTTATCACCCAGTATGTGGAGGATCCTGAAGCACCAGAGCTGATCTCATGTCCTCCGCTGCTCCTCTCCTCCAGGTCCGCGGTGTGAGATCGTCCAGCTGGCTGCGGTCAGCGGCCTCCACTCCCTGAACCTCTACATCCGCCCCCGGTGCCCGGTGCAGCCGGCAGCAGCCAGGGTCACCGGTTTCACGGTCCGCGGCCGGAGGCTGTACCTGCACCGCCGGCTGCTGCTCACCAACTCCCTCAGAGAGGTGCTGGTCTCCTTCATAGCCTTCCTCCAGATGCTCGGACGCCCTCTGCTCGTCGGACACAACATCCGCCGCTTCGACTGTCCGGTGCTGGTTCGGTCGCTCGACGAGGTGCAGCTTAGAGCCCACTTCGAGGCCTCTGTTTCCGGCTGTGTGGACACTCTGCCGCTGGCACGGGAGCTGCTGAGGGACCGCTGCCTCCGGAGCTTTGGGCAGGAGAACCTGGTCAGGGAGCTGCTGGGGCTCAACTACAAGGCCCATGATGCTTTGGAGGACGTGCGTGCATTACAGACGCTGTATGGGTTTCTGCAGCCCACGCCAGAGGTGATCAGTAGGCACAAGTTTACTGTGGACACACTGAGGTGCAAACCAGCTGACAGCGTCCTGCAGGTTCCCTGGAGGTCAGTGAAGGTCACAGAGGAGCCTGAGGGACAACCTGATGCACTTTGACTCCAACTATTATTATAAAACTGACACTTTGTACAAATGCTGTAAATGGACACACATTAAAAGTACACTGCTTTTGACAGTGTGAGCAGAGAAGAACTTTGTGGCACTTTTCTTCAGACAAACTGTGAAGCCTCAGTCTCCAGCAGCACTGTAGCAGCTGGTGGATCAAATGACTGAGTGTAAAAGCACCTCACATCCTTAACAGTTTTCAGTTATGCAAATAGAAAACAGACACATTGGAGGTGCTAAGCAAGCTGAGAGGTTGAAAGGTGAGGGAAGCTGCAGCACATCTGGAAGTCACTCATTGCTACTAAGGAGTTCTTTTCGGATGTGATTATTCTGCTCAAGAGGCAGTTGCACAGTTGTTATACTTTTATTTTATTGCACATGATGACTCAAGGTGTTTGGATCCGTTGCAGTTGGTTACTTTTGGCTGTGGAGTTATCAGATAGCTGTAAAAGTCCACTATTTTTTTGTCTTTCTGTGTCAGAACCAACAAACAGCCACACTGTGTTTCCACTGTAAGTCTGGATTAATTAAAACCAGATCCAGATGTCTGTCAATGGCATTATAAATGGTCAAAATGTTGGTTTCGAAATGCGTTCTGTTCTAGTCTGGACAAAGCATTCTGTCAGTCACCACTATATTTACATGTTTTATTTAAAGCAAATAAATGTATTGTATTTTTACATTGTGTCCAAAATTCTATAACCGATTGCTCACAAATGGCTGATAATGTTTTAAGGAGGGCTGGAAATGAGGCTGAGAATATCGATCACACACCAATCAGCCACAACATTAAAACCACTGACTGGTGAAGTGAAAGACATTCATGTGGATGTTTGACACGTATCACCCAACTGAATATTGTTGCAGACCAAGTACATCCTCCCTCTTGGCGCTGCCTGACCCCTGTGGCCTCCCCCAGCAGGACAATGCACCCTGCCACAAAGCAAAAGCTGCTCAGGAACAGCCTGACAACCACAGCAAAAAGGGCAAGGCTTTGACCCAGCCTCCAACTCCCCTAGATGCCAGTCCATTTGAGCATTCATGAGATGAGCCAGAAAAAGCCTGATCCCCTGAGGACTGACACCACTGCCAACGTCTCAGTGTCAGACACCACAGAACCCCCAGAGGTTCTGTGTCTGTAGCCTGATGGGTCAGAGCTGTTTGCCCCCATGAGAGTGAGCTACACAAATATCAGGCAGGCGGTTTTTAGTCCTGTGGCTGATTGGTTTATACAGTAACATTAGTTCCAATATTCATGTCATGCAGTTGGCAAATTTATGCATGATAAAGTCAAATATAATTGAAGTGATACCACAATAACTGATCTTGCTTGACATTTTGGCAGTGATACAACATTTAAATGCTAACTTTGGAGACTAATACCTGGAACATGGATGGGTATTAATAGCTGAAGGCAGATGCTACAGGCAAAACAACAAAAAGAGTTCAATTTAGTAACAGAACAAGGCTTTATTAAACCACTTTTACATACACGTTCTCTGCAGTCCCATGCTACAGCATCACCATATTCAAAAATGCTAAATCATGCCCTGGCTAGAGAAATATTCCAAGAAATTGTTCCACAAAGGTTAAAGAAAACAATTAAGGAACCCTAAGATCTGTGTGCATTTTAAGGACATTCATTTAAAATGAAAAATAATAATAATAAAAGATCAAAAAATAACCTTTGTGCAAAGTTCTAGATGTACAGTGTTCGAACTAAAGGTGATTTAAAACAAGATCAGTAACCAAAGTGTGATACGTAAATGAGACGTTAATAATCAAAATCAGATACTGTTTGAAACAGTGACCTCTACAAAATGATGTTACATGAAAAGATGGCAAAAAGGTTGTCTGTTGACAAAATTAACTGGAGTCTCTCCTTTTTAAAGATAGAGAAGGATGGATTTGAGGTAATGATTTTATTCCAAAAGAATAGGTGGTTTGAAAACAACTATTCACATCCTTCTATCTCATCATATTTTTCAATTTTCACCAGTTTTAGCAACAACAAACAGCTAAAGGTTCAGTGCATATAAATTAGGGACAAGCTTAGAGATTGAACCATGTCACTAACATGATCATGAAGTCGGCAAAAGCATTAGCAGGGCTTCATTCATTCAGAGAGATATTTACTCACTGGTAGGTTGGCAGGCTGACTGAGTGTTCATTCTCAAATATTTGAGTCAAGATAGCCTATAAAAACTATTACAACAGGAAAACCCACTTTATGATTGACTGAATTCACATCGACCCTGGTATGAACTGGAATATAATACAGAAGTTTGCACCATACTGAAATGATCTAGTTACAATATTGTACCAACATGTTGGAAAGTAGTCACCATAAAAGATAATACTTTGAAGACAGTTCACTCACCCATGATATAATGAACAATAAAACCTTATCATTCACTTTCTCTTCTCTTAGTATGTAATGTCAAGTATTGATTAATCAGTACAAACAACAAAACATACAAAGTCAAAAAATTTGGCTCCAAATAATACAATATAAAATTCAATGCAGCATTTTGTTGTACCATTGTACGGGAAATTACTGTGTTAAAACACTTGGGTCATCTTGTATCAGTATGCAACAAGCTGTTGTAGTGCATTTTTAGTCAAATGACAGAATCAGAAGCATTCCTGATTCCCATGTAGTCATGCTTCATGGGAAAGAGATGTTCAGTGGCTTTCTTACCTGCTCCTGTTAATTTTTTTATTTTTTTTTTTTTTTTTTTTTTTTTATGTTTATGATTGTTCACTACTTTGATGAGATGTTTCCAGACTGTAAACATGCACTGGTAACAGTCAAAAGCAGTAATACTCAGCAGGGTCAGCCTCACTGTGATTGCCTCGTAGCATTATTACAGTAATAGTAGGAGCCCCTCTGCAGTATTACTGATAAATCAAGCATGCACAGGCATCTCAGTATTACACTATATACTCAATTATACTAACAATGTATTTTCCTTCATTTGAGTTTGAAGAATGGATATTTAGTTGTTTAGGCTAAAGTTAAAATGAGAAAACAGGCAGTTGCACCAGTGATTGTGGGGGAAGACAGCTGCTGGCTCATTGAACAGATGTGCTAAGTCCTCAACAAGGTGGTACTGTAGTTGTCCAAAGCAGTGAGTGGTGGTGGGCTGCACCAGTGTAAACGTATCCCGCACCCTGTTTCAGTGCTGTTTCAGCAAGTTACTCTGAGTGTGTGTCGTCTTTATCCCAGACTGAAAAATAATACACTTTCAGTTGTACCTGCACTTAGAATTAAAAGTAAAAAATGTCTGGAAAACAGTGGAGCACCTCATAAATTATCTGCTTATAAATGGCGAAATAATCTCCACTTGGTAGTTTTTTCCCAGTTCTTTCAACCACATCTCTCAGACTTCTTATAATGGAGGATAAGTTTTTGTTGGAGAAAACAATCCAAACACTGGTTTCTATTTAGTAGCTGTTCTAGAAGATTCAGTTATAACAATGATCTTCAGGAGCTGGTAGTTGCCCAGATGTCCTGGGATTGTTCAGATCAAAATTTAAGCAGTTTGAGGTGTGACTTTAAGCTCCAGAACAGTGACTGAATAGATTGGTAGCAAGTTTGATGATCGCTCAGTCTTCATTACAAATCATCAGGAACGCAGACAAGCATCTGAGTGTGGTGGACATATTTTACTTTTTATTCCTTGTGTCCTCTGTCCAGCATCTAGAAGTTGTACTTGCACCACTTCAGGTGAAAAAGGGATTAAAACCAGCTAAAATCCAGCAGCATTGAATTACTGCTGGACTTTAAAGCTAGACAATAGTGCTGGAGGTGGCACAACGGTCTGTGGGTGGAGTTGGGGTTAAGGGGGCGCAGCGGGCACCAAAGGGCATTGACACACTAGACCGGAAGGTTCCGTCAGCTTTTATACTACCTACTAAAAAGTGCACAACAGTTATCGGGCTCAATCCATAACACGGTACAGACCTTGCTGCATTAAACCGCAAACAAACAGGTAGTATGAGCTTTCACACACAGCCACAGACTCACAACTACAGGAGGCAGCAGGCCCGAAACAGAGTCATCCCTGTCTGCGAGGTGATGTGCAGGGAGACGCTCTCATTGGCTGAGACAAACAGGACGGTGCCACGCCTCAGGGTGATATCAGACAGAGCAGCGGCGGATGTTGCCGTGGCTTCGCCCTCGATGACCAGAAGGATGCTGGCACTGTCCACTGGAGCAACAATGTACTGCTTCATTGAGGCTGGGACCTGCAGAGGGACAGGAACAGTGAGATGGACTTTGTCTTTACAGCCATAGTATGCAGCTTCATAAGACATTACCAACAAGTCAACCTTGCCCTGGAGCCATATTGTTCATGAGAGAAACATATCTCCTGAGTACAAAATAACTGCATTGTTGGTGGTTTAGTTTGTAAGACAGGGTCAGATTCATGTGGGACAATTTTATCTGTGACATGAAATGTCATTGCAGGAGAACCACAAGTTTAGGCAACAATATTTATGATGAAAGCAGTTAAGGTCCAGGTTTAGATCGGCCGTTTTTGCAGCAGATATTTTGACTTGTCTTCAGCAACTTCCAAGACCAAGAGTCGCTGACGGACTGAGGTTGGGCCTGTTTTTCTGGCTCGCTAAACAAAAGAAGTCCCTGAGATTTCCATGAATAAATGTAGCTTTTTATTAAAGAAAAAGTTAATCAACTCGTGATAACATGCGCAACCTCAAAATCAAAGAAACCACAGCTATAGTCTAAAAATAGCGGCCAACAAAAAGTAGAGTGAGCCAGCACTCCACTCTCTCACTCAGAAAATGAAAAAGTGAACCGGTGATATGTTAAATCCATATCCACGTGACCCACTATCCCTCTATTCAATATGATCACCAAATAATATAACCAAAACAAACACTAACAATAATCAATATACCCCTTAAGCTTATAATAAAAATAACAATTAACTTATGGCTCCTCCATGTCAAAATAACAAAATCACCCATCTATTTTTAAATGCCTGTAGAATAGTAACCACATAAGATAGAGCCATAATTCTTTTTGGATATGAAACTGGAGAGTTAAACTTCTACTCACAATTTGTCCCAGAGCACTGTTTCCTTCCAGAAACTTTCTTACTTCCTTTGCAGAAATCCAGTAAAAAGTGCAAAGACAAACATTTTAATCCAGATCGCTACACTGGAGATGAAGCGGACTTTATTGACGGGATAGATCCATCCCATGACATATATGTGGACATTCATAAAATAGGACTTGTTTCCGAGTTAGAGAAAACTAAGGAAAACATACAATTGAAAGAAATTTGCCGAATTACTCATCATTATTTTATTATTCTCGTTATGGACACATCTAACACATAGTGTAACTTCTTCTGTGTGCAATGTTGATGATGTTGAGGAGGAGGAAGTTGAGACCTGCTCCCCTGAGGCACCCAGTGCTCTGGAGGGAGGCAGAGGGAGAGGAAGCGCTCCAGGTCAGAGATGCTCCCTGGTGATGTAGCTGGCTGGAGATGTGAAACTGAGCCTGACAACTTGCCACATCCCCCACCACATTTCCTGCCCAAAAGACAACCAGAGATTTTTGGCGTACAGATTCCATTATTAGTGTGCTGTATCCCGCAAAGGTCACATCCAGAGACCGGTTCCTCACCATCACTTGGAACATACATAGGAGTGACCCTGCGGAATATGCCCTCAATGACAGCAGAAAAGGCACAGACGAATATGACTGTCTGCACAGAATACGCCCCCTGTATGACAGTTTACGTGTAGCCTGCAAAGCTTTGTACCACCCTCAGCAAAACCGTTCTGTGGATGAGTGCATGGTAGCCATCAAAGCCAGAATTGCCCTGAAGCAGTACATAAAGAACAAGCCAACAAGGTGGGGGATAACATTTTTTGTGCTGTCAGACAACACAGGCTACACTGTTGACTTTAACATTTACACAGGGAGGTCCACTCTGGTAACTGGGAAGGAGCTGTCATTTGATGCTGTGATGTCACTCACCAATAAAAAACTTCCTGGGATCAGGATATCACATTTATTGTGGTAACTTCTACACCAGCCCAGCACTGTTCAGCCACCTTCATGACCTGGGGTTTGGAGCCTGTGGGACATTGCGGGATACAATAATTGACGTCCCAAAAACAAAGGTGAATGCCCTGAACAAAAAATCTCCCCGAGGGACCTTTAAGTCGATCAGAGAGGGAACTCTCGTATTCACAAGTGGATGGACACGAGAGAGGTGAGTGTGTGCTCCACTCTGCACACTTCCTTCTCAGCTGACTCTGTAAAAAGAGCATCCAAGGTTGGTGGAAAGTACAGGGCAGTTGAAGTGCCAGTGCCATCAGCTGTGAAGAACTACAATCGCTTTATGGGGGGAGTTGACCTGTCAGACCAGCTGATTGGCTCCTATTCCTCATGGAGAACAAGCAGGAAGTGGTATGTGACAGTGCTGCATCACTTTGTTGATGTTGCTGTAACAAACAGCTATTTTCTGCACAAGGAGCTGTGTGGCAGACTGGAGCAGCAGCCCATGACAAACCAGGTCTTGCAGGAGCAGCTGGCAGCTGAGCTGTGTGGAGTGCCCTCACAACCAATCCCGGAGACCTATCAGCACATTGCTGTTGCCATTGCTGAGGGGGCATCTGGCTCAAAGAAAGCCACACAGGGGGCTTCTGAAGTGCAGGAGGAAGAGGAAGTGCAGGTTGTGTGGGAAGTGCACTCCCTGCATGTGTGAGACATGTAAAGTGCCTCTGTGCGTTATCATGGACAGGAACTGTCACAAGTCCTATCACAGCTCCACTGGTGCTCGAACCGAAACCTAGTGTTTGACTCTGTGCCTGAAACACTTAAAAGTTTGATTGCACTATTGTAAATAGTTTATTGTAAATAGTTTTATGATGTTAATGTTGTCTTTTTGTATTCTGCTTTTTTGTATCTTGATAAAAATATAATTTAATTTGTGTTCATCTGTTCTAAAGTTTCAATCCAGTGAAAACGATTATATTTTTTGTTGTTTATTGCATTTTTTGTTGTTTGAACATGGTCTTATGCAAATACATGTGCGCTCATAGGTATCTGGCACACTTAGAGATGTGATTGCACTACTGGAAATAGTTTAATTTGATGTACATACTGTCTTTTCTCAAATTGTTCACAATGTACATTTTATTTCTGTTTTTGTCTCCATTTATAAAAGTTCAACCCAGTCTCACGTCAATTCGTGAAATTGAAATTGAAACGAAACTTAATCTATTGATTCGTGTCCAACGACACGAATTGCCTGACTTTTTCATGTTCCCCAACACAAATTTCAAACCAACACATTTCAGTTGGACTTATCTTTTGTGTCTGGGACACGTTTTTCCCCATTAGACAGCGCATATACTGTGATGTTTTTGTCGTTCTTTTCTTCTGACAGGCATTAACTAATTTTACTGTTATGGCCCATCCACACTATTAACTATAGAGATCACTATAAAGATGTGTGCGCCCAGACTGACAAATGGTAACATTCTGTAAACACCCGCACTGCGCAGCTACCATGTGCTCCAGCTGCATAATAAAAAAGGCTCTGAAAGTGATTCCAACGGTATCGCTCATAGCTATTATCGTTTATTTGTGATAACATATATGTGCTTTTACTCTGGGCTACATGCTCGTCGTTACTTTCATTTCTCTGTAAACGAACACAACTCTGAAAAGAGGGACACATGCAGGAAAACGACGACTGACAATAGCGGAATTGTCCACTGCTGTGATCACAGTACATCTTCCAGTCGCCATTTTCCTGCATGTGTCCTTCTGCATGTGTGCTTCGTTTCAGATACAGCTATGACATTTCTGTATTTAGGAAAATATGTGTGTGTAAGTAAGTAAGTAAGTAAGTAAGTAACTAAATAAGCAAGCAAGCAAGCAAGTAAATAAATAAATAAATAAATAATCTGGTGGTTAATTGCAATTTATTTAGTTAATATGGACTTATTACATACATATTAAAATGTGGGATGTAAGGGTTGTATTGATGTATAGCAAATTGAAATGCTCAAAAAAATGGCTCTATGTAAAAATATGCTCTGACAAACTTGTTCTATGGTAGGTCATGATTAATGATGGCTCGAAGCTACACTCCTTATACAGAAGTACAAACATTTACCAGTGTAATTCTATAATGATTAGGAAATGACAATTTTACACATTGCATAGTGGGATTGTTAGGAACCTAGCACATGCTGTGGTCAATCTTTTTTGTATGTTTAGTGAATTATGCAGTGACTAACCATAACACTAAACTCACTGACAGCTTAAGTAAATGATGTTGATGGTCTCACTACAATGTAATGGTCTGATGGGAAACCTGGATGTTTCTATGACATGCAACACTCACCATCACAATTTAGGCTAAACGTTTTCATAAATGAAAGGTCTTAATGGGAAACTATGCTGGTCATTATTAAAATAAAATGTAGTGATTGTTTTGTTGGGCGATAATACCACCCGCTCCACAAACCTCCTACCTGTATCCTCATGACAGTGAAGTCTGGCACTGGGGGATCGTACAGGGTCACGCAGGGGTCTGACGCATCCTCAACACATGGGAAGATTTTAGAGGCGGCAGGGGCAGGGCTGTAGTTCAGCATCTCACACAGCGTATTAACATCGATGTATTTTGGCGTCAGCCCGGCCCTCACAGTGTTGTCTGAGCAGGCCATACACTCGATACAGTCTAGACGGATGAATAAAGAGACAGAAAAGCAAACTCAACTTTAAATAAGCAGAGTAGGCAGTTGAATCTCCTTCAGATGGAAAAATCAATTTCTAGATACAATGTTAGATACAATCAGCCTGTGATGTTAAATGCTTTCCAGGAGCAATTTTTTCCCCCAACACACTGACAACCAGTATGACAGCTGCACTGCATTTTGGTCTGCTGAGGTAGCTGACAGCGAAGACACTGCTATCTGTCTCTGTTATTCAGAGTGCTGAACAGCACTTGAGTCAAACTTTCTAAGGGAATGACAACAAAAAAAGTGTTTCAAGCTGATACTTCACATTTCTGAAAAAGCTGTCTTTCAGCATTTTGTGGTTTGCCTCTTGGAAATGATGCAGATAGCATTTCATTTTCCTGTAATAGATATACAGATAAACCAAATAAAAAATGTGTTTATTTCTATGCAGGTTGTTAAAGGACAACACTGATGATATTCTATATTCTTACTCTCACAAAAGAACACTTGAAACATGTTTAAATACTACAATGGAATGTAGCCCCAAAGAAATTAACTATTTCTGCAACCTGTTTAAAAAACATTCACTGAAAACTCCAGCGGGCAGCTGTTTAAGGAAATTGCTATGTTTTAAAAATAATGAAACTGTTTATTTATGACTTGAAGTATACAGCAGCAGACACAGTATGGAAGTTGGAAAGTATTGGGAGCTGAGCAAACACATTGTTTGTTTTTGACTTGTAATGGGGATGAGTTGACAATACAAAAACACGAGAAATAGCTCAGTTCCTATTCTACAATATTTATCTGGTGTTTCTCTGTCATACAGAAGCATCGCAGTAACAACGTCAAGCACACTAACGTTTTAGTCAACTCTCATTCAGTCTGTAGTGCACTACATGTCATACGTAACGCAAATAAAAATGATCTTCTGACCTCCATAAAGGTAAGCGTGAGGCTCGTTAGCTCCCAGGAACATGGCCTGGCCTGGATCCAGGAGCATGTGATTGAGAAAGTAGATGGAGAAGCAGCCGATGTCCCCAGGGTACTGGGAGTGGAGGCGAAGCAACAGGTCACCGTTGCTGCTTGACGTGTCCTTCTCTGCTGCACCTGCAGGAGTCACAAACATCCACGCATGACATTTATGTCAATAAAACCTCGTCTATAGAGCAGTGCCTACTCTGTGTTTTTTCAAATCTGTGCTTAGAAGCCCTTTAATCCTTGGATTCCAGGATAAGGATTAAATAGCTGACTTTGCTGCCTCCTGGTGGTCGTATCAATCAGTCTTTTCCTCAGCCTTCTTACCCTCTTCAGTGACTCTTTTCACAAGCATGTTGAGCTGGTCTACAAACACTTTCTTCTCACAGTTCATCATCCTGGTGAAGCACTTCTTTAGTGCCTGGCCCGTACGAACTGCATCTCCCATGCTGCACCTCAGCTCCTCTGCTGCCTCGTTGCCCACCAGTGCGTGGAACTCTGGGACCGCTGACAGATGAACACAGACATTCACAAGGTATAAATTTATCTACATTTATTTAAATTACAGTACAGGCATGAAAAAAAAGTACATATTTTTTCTTGTTCCTCTATCCTGCTCCAAATCAACTGATGACCCTGTGGGACTCACATTTAAGGAACCCCAGGATCTCCTCCACTGGTCTGAAGCCACAGAGGCCCTGGAAGCGGGTAAGAGCGATGGCCATCTCCGGTTTGTGGTTGTTGTCTGGATAGTGCTCCGGAAACTGAGCATGGAGACGAGCGGCTAACTCCTGACCAAACCATGATGACAGAAAAGGAAGAGGGTTACTGAGGGGCAGACAAAGAGTGTGTACATTAAAATCAGTTTAGTTTATACAAAAAGCAGACCAGATGCACTGACCTGCACTGAACACTGTGACAAAAACAGCATGCTTAAAATATTACATTACATGTCCATCACTTATTCTAAAAATGTTCAAACCATGCTGAGTTCAGGATATCTAGCCATTTGTGAACATTTGTGTAACGGACTCTATTGACAACTGTTACGGCTGAAATTTGCCTTCACCGTTTTCCATTGTCCTTAAATACACAATTCAGGAAACACCATTGTACCAACACTGGTTTAATTATAGATTTTTTTTTTTTTAAATATAGGAATTAACAACTCCTTATCTATCTCTTTAAATCATATAAAGACAGCAGAGTGGTAATAACAATTTTAGAATAATTGGCCTTACGTGACCAGGAGGATTCACATGTTAAATGTGGCAGTCCAGTAATTTAGAATTGTACTTCTCTATCATTATTAGACAGTTCCTTTTTTTTTAAGTATCACATCATAGTCAGCAAACAGAGATATCATTCTGTTCCTCACATTTCTCTGACAACTTGGCTACATTACATAACTTGCCCACATTTCACAGTTATTACTTAAATGCCAATGGTCCTTGACTAAGACAAATGTAGGTGCATCTCTTTTGATCTGAAAACTTTCTGACCTGAATTTTATTCAGCTTCGTATATAAACTCAAAACAGTTTGGCACAGTGGCTTTTTCAGCATACTGCTCTAAGGATTTAAAGGATCCCTGCTACACATTATCCAATCACTAATGATAAGTCAGTTTATGCAGTATTTGGACACTGTGTTGGTATGTGTGTTTGTGTACTCACCCTGTTGGGGTGGGCCTGTATGGACAAAGCCGTGTTGACAGAGAGGACTTTGAAGAGGAAAGGCAGCTGACCCTGGAAGGTGTCTTTAACCTTGGAGCCCAAGCAGGCAGGGAAGTGGGCGACCCATTGGCCAAGGGTGGTCTGTGCAATCCTGTTGTCTTTAATCTGGGCATCGCCTTTAGGGTGGGCACCCATCCATAGCTGCAGCAGACAACACTACTTTTAGATAGATTGTGGTCATGTATAGTACATTCAACCATCTCACCAACACTGCTGGTGGGTTTGTGACTGGGAGGTGGCACAAAATGATCTGACCAGAAAAAATGTGAGTGGGAAAGTAAACACTAGACACTTTGTCTCTCTGAACAGTTAGCTCTGAATCTCATATTAAAAATACAGCTGATCAAGAATTAAATCAAACTGGAAAATGTAGATATCACAGTTCTGTTATTTCCATTATTTTTGGATCATAGGAGAGGCAGAGGTTAGTACTGTTGCCTCTAATCAAGAAGGCTCTGGATGTGAAGCTGCTGGTCAGCTGGGGCCTTCCTGTCTACAGTTTGCATGTTCTCGCTGTTGCTAGGTGGGTTTTCTCTCTGGCTTCGTCAAAACATTTGCCGGGTGATTCTAAACTGGCTGTAGGTGTGACTGTCAGTGGGCATGGTTGTTTTCCTCTTTGTATCCAGGGTGTACTCTGTCTCTCGCCTATAAGCATCCTCATACTTCTAAAGGGAATCCTAGGTGTGCCCAGGCTGTCTGAGACACTTGCTTTAATCAATTCACTTAATTCATCTAATACTGTAATCCAAAGAGATTTACAGTCAGTGAGTAGGGAGGAATCCTAAACACCTCACTCAGTGTAATTGACTCTGGAAGGTTATTCTAATACCTAAAGTGTAAATGAAGTATACTCTCTCTTTGCTTCTGGACAAACAGTGACCACTACTGCAGTAAAAAACAACCTGTTACAGACATGTTAACAATCTGTCACTTCATGTTTGCTAGGCTTCCATGCCACCCTCTATAGATAACCATGAACATGAACTACTGTAGCATGTGACATTAATGTGGCTTGCAGTAAGTGAAAATGTCACCATGACCAGAACCTGAACTGACGACCTTCATAACAAACGCTGCAGAGTTGCTGCAGCTAAATAAAGACAGACTTACGAAAGGCATGGAGAAAAAAAGCTCCTCTGCCAAGATATTCTGGAGCTACACCCCATATTTAAAACATGAAAATTATAGTAGTTTTGCACTGCTCATTTGATGAGAGCTTTTGACTTTTGAAGCAATGGTGCATCCAAAAACTCTAAATGACAAGGGGTCCTACAAATAAATGCCAAATCTAAAATGATACTCCAGAAAAGTGACATCACATTCAATTTTCCAATTCTGCTCAAGTGTTTACAAAAATACATTAACTGATTTAGTAGTATTGTTCACAGAATTATATTGGTTGCACTTTCATGAATCTCTGAAACATGTCTGTGCCTCACATGTATTTTTCAAGGATGAGTCAAAAGCATAGTAGTATTTTTTCCACACCAAGGGATTTTTGTATGTATAAAAACACCTGTTTGTCAGTCACCTTCAACAGAAGCAGTGCACCACACATCTGTGAACCTTACCTCTGCATAAGGCTTTCCATCCTCAACGACAGCAACTGGGTCTCCACCCACCACCAGTTTGGCCACCTCGCTGTCCAGCCCAACCTTACCCCAGGCATAATTTTGCACAGCACAGGTCAGGGGAAACACTGAGGAGAGAACATTTAGTGATTTCTTTTTCTTAAACAGAAAGTAAATACAAAACTGATTCCAATGTGTTGCAGAGGCATCCAGCACACTCCTTTGTGTCTTCCTACCAACAGGTGCACGTACACTCCAGCTTATCAGACACACCAAGTAAACGCCTTTTGCAATCTTTATGCAACAGTCTTGCAACAAATCCTTCCACCATGAAGGTTAGAAGGTTGTGTTAAACTCGTAGATGTTAGAAACATCTGCAAGTTTAACACAACCTTCTTATTTTATTTTATTTAGTAATGTCACATATTTTGAGTTAAATAATAGAAACACCCCACTGTATAAAGCAATACTGCACAATTGACAACCTTCAAAGTTAAAGTCAAGTCACTGTTACCTATGTTGCACATTACAAGCAAAAACCACCAAGATTTGCATTTCAAATTAACATTTAATAACTGAGGTTGAGACCCCACACTGAAATAATCCCACACTGAAATAAATGGTGTCAATTTACGTGAATATTTTAAATATTAGGATTGAAACAATTTCAACAATTTCCCTGAGGTACCCTACCAAAGGGATCAATAAAGTTCTATCTGATCTAAAGTTCTATTTGAAACCCTACCAAGAATTATATAAAATACAACTTTACCTGATCATAACAAATACTATAGCTAAGACCCTACAGTATTGTTATATATGGGGAATACCTAAATTGAAATCCTGAAGCTAAGATCCTTAAATAATAATTACTATGGTGGTTTCAGCTTGGTTTGGTCACCTAAGCTGTAAATGCAAAAATAAATTAAATAGGATTGTCACAATGGGAAGTAAAATTGTGGGTAAACCCCTAAAGTCTCTGACCCAACTATGGACTGAAAGGACGATGATGAAAGCTAGGAGAATCTTGGCGGATAGCTCCTCTTTTTAACAAGTTTGAATTTCTTAAGTCCGGGAGGGGCTACAGAACCCCTCTGGCCAAAGGTATCTTTAAGAAGTCTTTCATCCCAAATGCCATTGGTCTTCTCAATTCAACAAAGTGACCAACCCACATAAAACCTAAATCTGAACTGCTATTTTACTGTTTTATTCTATTTTATTGTTGTATTGTAGGCTACCTAAACTATGTATTGCTGTGTGTCTGTTTGTATGTCATGCTGTTTTTCTTTGTTGGTGAGCCGAAGACAATTTTCCACCTTGGTGGACAATAAAGTTCTATTCTATTCTATTCTATTCTAACCCAACTAATTGGCTGATATTAGTATTTTTTCCGATATATCGGTATTGGTCCGATGAACAAATTCAGCCATGTGAAAATCTGACAATTGTCTAACATTAGTGCCTTTGTCTCTACATTTGATATTGCTGCTATTTCACAGATGTTTTTACTTAAATGGTCCTGGATTTGAACTGAATATCGACATTGATAATATCGGTGATCGGAAATCTTAATATCATGCATCACCAGCTATGACCATACAAAAGTATACTTGAAAACTCCACAAATCCAAGGATTCCCTAGGAGCAAGTTTTGTTTTGATTTTACTTTTGTAGTTATTTTGTGTGTTTATAAATCAAAAAATAAATAAATCCAATAATTTGGCTACATTGGCTTTATGTGACCCAACCATGCCATCTAATCTTTAATCTCTGTTCTATTATAATTTGTTGAGTATATGGCCACCTTTGTAGCTCAGCTGAAGGCGTGGCATATTTTCACTGCAAGAAATAACCATGTCAGTGAAAAACGTGCCCTGTTTGGAGCAGTAGAACCAGGGGAACCAGCCCTCCGGGGCTCCATCACCAGCTGACGAAGCAGCCCAACTGACTGAAACGCGGCCAGTAAGCAGATTCACATAAGCGAGGGTCTGTTCGCCCGTTTCAGTAAAACGCAGCTAAATTTCGCGGATAGCTGCACACGTTTTTCTCCGTGTTCTCTGCCAAGGCCGAGCTGAACATCTTTTTATTTCCTTTTTCCTTTAGCAGTAGCGCCAACGGTGCTGTCAGTACCAGCCTCCCGGACGACAAACAAAACGCCGGCTGACACCGAGCTGGATGCTCGCTGCCAACGACGAGCAAGTCGGGTCTTACGAATAAACACTTTAGGTGTCGTGTCCTGTACATAAAAGCTGCGGCATTAGCTAGCTTGGCTGTAAAGCAGCAGAAGACAGGGTTTAAAAGCAGTTCAGGAGGAGAAAGCCTCACTCACCTCTCACTTCCTCCATTGCTGCGACGTCCGCTCTCAGACCGCTGCTGACGTCACCGCCCGACACACGGACACGTCGCTGCGTGGCTCGTTTTTTTTTATTTTTTTACTTCACGTTATAAAGATGTGGAAAAAATCATCAAAATTATAAGAACCTTCGTCCTTACATTTTTTTCATTACAGTCGAGCTGTACAGAACCTTGATTAATTGGTATTTGTAATAGTAAATATATAAGATATGCCTTTATTTATCTCACAGTGAAGAAATTCACAGTGTTGTCAGAAGCAGTACACACAAAAATACACACGTACTAGAAAGAGAAATTTACATATAAGAAATAGTGCAAACATTAGTATAAAAAAGAATAGTGCAAGCACAGAATATAAAAATGAGGACAAAAAAGATATACAGTCGACCTCAAATTGATTTTATATATACTGTATATACAGTATATACACACATATCGGACAAATCAGAGCACTTTGCTAATGAGCAGTGGACCAAAATCCAAATATCTGTCAACAGGTGCAGAAGTCTGTTTGAAAGTTACAGAAACACTTGATTGCAGTGATTGCCTCAAAGGGTTTTTCAACAAAATATTAGTTTATGGGTCCCATCATGCTTGTTTGCTTGTTGTTGTTTTGTTTGTTTGTCTTATTTCTGTTGAGCCACAATTCAAAAGCAATGTCATGATTTTCATTTTAAAAATTTATTACTTTTCTCAATTTCAACCTATTCCAGTGACAGCTGTTTTTTTTCCTTCTTTAATGGGAGGGTATGAATACATTTGAGGATGACGCTAAAATAAAGATATAATAATAATAATAATAATAATAATAATAATAATAATAATAATAAACAGTGCAAATACAAATACATACATACATACATACATACATACATACATACATACATGTCATAAAATAGTGCAAATAACCAATGTAATATAAATAAATATTTCTAAATATGAATGGAAATTGATTATTGATACATTAAAAGAGGGATATTGCACGTTGTTGGTCTACTGACAGCATAGCTGGTTGTACAGTCTCACCTCAGAGGGGGTACAGCGTGGGTGAAGAAGCCTGGCACTGATGGAGCTTTCCAGGACTCTTACATACTTACCAATACATAACTTCACTGTATCAAAATCAGCTTTTTTGGGGCCACGTATGTGTACACATACAAAGGAAATTGACTGTGTTTTTTTTCCCTTTGATTAGACAAAAAAACACTCATGTACTTTGTATTATGTACATACAGTCGTCCTCAAATGTATTCATACCCTCCCATTAAAGAAGGAAAATAACAGCTGTCACTGAAATGAGTTGAAATTAATAAAAGTAATAATAAATAAAAATTTAATGAAAATCATGACATTGCTTTTGAATTGTGGTTCAACAGAAATATGATCAATAAATAAAGAAATAAAACGGGCAAACAAGCACGATGGGACCCTTAAACTAATATTTTGCTGAACAACCCTTTTATTATTATTAGTACAGTATTATTACCTTGTACAGAATGAGCTGAGACTACATGCATTTACACAACCACAACAGGTTAAAGACAGGAGTGCTTAACTACTTTCAGAGCTATGGATATGCATATTGAAAGGTATGTTTAAATATGAGCACGACATTTAGTCAACATTGTGCAGAGTCTGATCATACAGGAAGAAATACAGTTTCCAACAATAAATACAGGGGTACTGACATGTTATATACATGAGGTAATGAAGCAGAGAGCAATGTGCAGGAATGAAATATCAACAGGTATGTAAAATACTGTATATACAGTGATTCAGAGTCAGGGATTCAGGATTTGGAGTTGCAGTGGTTCCTCAGTGTTACAGGTTTAAAGTCCAAGAGGTGTTCCCATCATTATACACTGATTTAACTGTTTATCAGTGGGGTCGCCTAAGGGAAGAAACAGTTTTTGTGTCTGGTTGTTCTGGCATTCAGTGCCTTGTTGCACCTACCAGAGTGGAGGAATTTTGGCAGTCCTTACTGTCCATCACAGTCTGTCTTTGTCTGTTTTAGAGGACAATCCAAACCAGGCAGTAACTGAGGTGCAGAGAACAGGCTGTGTCATTGCTGAGTAGAACTGGATCAACAGGTTCTAGGGTATAGGTTGAACTTCCTGAGCTGGTGCAGAAAGAATGTCCTCTGCTGGGCCGTTTTGTTCATTGTGTCTATACTGAATGTTCACTTCAGATCCTGGTAGATTGTGGATCCCAAAAACTTGCTGTTGAGTATGGTGAAAGGGACAGTATAGGTGGGCTCCTTCTTAAATCCACTGTCATCACCATGGTTTTGAATGTGTTCATCTCCAGGTTGTTCTAACATGAGCAGACCAGCTGTTCAGTTTCCTGTTAGTATGCAGACTCATCACCATCTCAGATGAGGTCTGTGATCATTGCATGATGTAAAGTCTAAAGCCGATTGTCAATGCTAAGAAAACATCATGAATTTATTTTCCAGAGCTCACTCTCAGAATTCAGATATTGCTCGCATTCATACTTTAGGCTAGGACTTAATTGAACAAGTGTCTTCCTTAAACTGATCTGGGTGGATGACAGGCTGTCTTTACGTTTAGATAATGAGAACCAGCGTAAAAAATGAAGGTTAGACTAAGAGTTTATATTAAAATAGGGCCTACCTTAATTCAGTAGCTAGCAGCATTCTTCAGTGCTGCAAACTAACGGGACATTATTTACACTGATCAAAAATATACAGCATACAAGTGGTCTTTTTTTCTGAGTTAGAGAAAAAGTTACATCTTTCATTTCTATTGTTCTGTTCATAAGGGTTAAATTTAGCCAAATACACAAAATGTTTTTGAGCTGTTCAGTGAGTTGATTTACACAGTAGTCAGGTGTGGCTTTAAATGACAATCACCAACAGACAGACATTCCAGTGACTATCAAAGGGCACCTTAAAATGACACAATGTCACAGAAGACAAGATAGCGACGGCAATGAGCTGTTGCTGCTGGATGTTGACATACCAGTTAGGGCCATAGTCAGACACTCAAATGTCCACAACTAAAAAATCATCATAGATTTTCTTGGATGGACGTGTCCCACAACATGTCTGCCCTCCAACATTTTTAACAACTTCACCAAACCTTTCATGAGGGGTGGGACAACTTTGCACAAGCAGCATCAGCTACCTCATTAACTGTATGTCGCTGATGTGTGACTAGCTAACTGTGTGTGATTTTCTGGTCTATGACATCACTCTGCATCTGCCTAATATATTTTCCAATAGTGTCAGAACAACAAATACTTATTCTTTTAAGTTAAAAAGAATGATTAGAGCTTATTAAAATTCTGTCTTTATATTTTTGGTTAGTATATAAAATCTGCTTTTAGGTGCTTGAGGGGTTTTCATGTCAAAATGTAAATGTTGCTTAAAAATGAAATATCATAGTAATTTAGTTACATGAATAGCCCGTATGGTTTTTGGAAAGGGGCTCCTTGAGTGAATACATAGCAATTTTCTTTGACATTTGTTTCAATTAAACTAAATGTAATTACATATAAGATTTCCGACAGTCTTCTTCCTGTGCGCGCTTGGAAGTGGCGCGCGCCCAGAGATATGTGCCACCTGATGCACGCGTCATTGGTCCGCCGGCTCAGTACGCCTGCGCGCTCAACTTCGATCGAGGAAGTGAGTAGGACGGCCAACTGAAGCGACAGAGAAGAGTTTGTTGTTTATTCCGCTTTCAGAGGATAAGACACCTCGCAGGCTTTTCAAAATGTCGGACTTTGACAGTAACCCTTTCGCAGAGCCTGTCAGCGACAACCCTTTTAATGTAAGTGTGTGGTTTCAGGAGCTGGACGGCTACAGTCGAGGCTGACATATCATTCGTTAAAAGTAGCTAGCACGCCAGGAAACTTGTCGGGTGGATATCGGGGTGGGATTTACTTCTGTGCTGCAGAGAGCCATTTGCCGAAATGGCATGATTGACAGTATTTTAACCAATCAGCGAGGTCTGTTAGCAAAGAAGGTGGGGTATCTTTCGAGTTCAATTGCAGGAAGTTAAACTTTAGCCAACTAGGAATGTGTTTCAGATCTTTTTAATCGCATTACAACTTTTAGTATTTACTTTAAAAAAGAGTTTGTATTGTTGTGTGTGTTTCTGATACATTGGGTGTGATTTCAAAGTATTTTGGTGTCCTGTAATGGTCCCTACAGTGATGCTGCTGGTTTCCTCTTTGAAACGTAGATCTAAACTACAGGACGTAGTCTGGCAGTAACGTGTCGCATCCGGATACCTTTTATCGGTCCACAGCAGTTAGCATTGTCAAATGGTCAGAATGGTTAGGGTTAGGCCATTCCCTATTCCTTTCATGTTAAAGTGACTGACCTACAGACAAAACATTCCTTAATGTACTTAGAAATTATTGCAAAAGCAGATTTACAGACAGACTGGTTTACAATGCATTGGAAATGACATTACCGTTGGAATGCATCATTTATCTCACACTTTAAAACAGACTATCTATGAGAATTCACTTTCCATATTGTTTCTGTTGTGTTAACATAGATCTTTGCAGTGATTTCTTCTCTGGTTCTTAAAACTCATCTTTGTGTAACAAAATTTGATATTTACACTTTTTTTTTTTTTTAACATGAAAATGATACCTTCATAACTTTACATATTTTAGATGCAACTCCACTTCATTTTCCTTCTCTACAATGTACAGGTCTGTATTGCTGCAGGCTCACCTGTGACTCAGGCTTGTACATGATATCCTGACATTCATAGCCATGAGTGTAAATGATGACTACTTGATCGCATCTTTGCAAAAATTACCATTTATTTTTAACTACCCATCTCCAAGCATGTTACACACAAAAATGGAAATCTCAACCTCCAAAAATGGGGGAGTACCACTTTAAAATGTAACCATTTTTTTTAAACAGCTATTTCTTTTAATTGTTTTTTTTTTTATTTACCTGAATACATATACAGTCATATGAGCCATTTTTTCTTAGTATCTTTAAAGTATCGTATCAACCGTGTATGAAGTAGATAAAGGTGAAAATTTGCAGGCTAAACGCATTATTACTGTGGTTTGACAAGAGAGTTAGAATTATGACATTTTGGTAAGAGCAGGGGCCTTCCTCAGACATCAAGGAAAGAGCTGATGTGTAACATAAAAGGTGTGAATGTGTGACCTCATCCGATAGCAACTAGTGCACTACTTTTCAATACTGTACTAGATAGGCTATAATGTACATCATAGAATCAAGTTTGAACTGTATGGTATTTCCTGTTGTATGATGTCAAACATGCATACTGTTGTTAGTTCTTTTCAAATCTAGACTGTCTCATTTGTTAAGAACAAAATGTTAAGGAATGTGACTTGTTGCAGAGATACCAGCCGGTGCAGAATAAAACAAAAAACTCTGAGTTCAAGGTCAAACAGTCTTTACGTACAGTATTTAATATAACACTCCAATCAGATTTTTGAGAACATGGAAACTATGTTCTCCAGTGTTATGTAAACACATTACATTCTGCTTATACAGGAGGCAGAGAGTCACACTTGTATTATATCAGGTGCACAATAGCCGTGATGTCAGTGGAGACCACTGTTTGTTTGATGGGTGTGGAAGTGGCTGAATAAATATCCCAGTAGCAGCTGGAATAGGTTGTCTACCCAGATCAGTTCACGACAAAGCTGTAATAGTCAAAATGCCTTGCGTCCGTGGTTAAAGTAGATACTATGTGGACACTCTTTGGATGAATTTCATGACATTAAAAAATAACTGAAAAAGTGCACCTCTTAGTTAAACACGCAGTGCTGTTCTCAAAGATCTAAAGTGTGCAGCAGTTTGTGCATTGTGAGTGGAGTGACTTAAGGCTGTTCATCAGCATTATCCAACAGTTTTGAAATGACAAGAACAGCCACACCTAGGCAATAAACAGTAAGTCCTGTTTCCTGGTACAGAGATGTTTAGGTCAGGATGTGTGCTTTTTTTGAGCCCAAATTAATTTGACATACTTTAATGGTAGAGTCAGTTATTTTTTTAGAAGTGATGAAAATACAACTTTACATTCTTATCAATGGAATGATGTTTTTGTGTCTCTCCACACCCATGTGCTTTTGTTTTAAACATGCCACCATCTTGTTTTGACTTGTCCCAGCAAAGTCCTTATTTCAGTGAAGATTACTGGTTGTTGTCATCTTCATTTATCACTGTTTGTGCTGTGCCATCAGGGGAAACAAGCAATCTCTGCAGTTGTGAGTCAGCAGAATAGGTTTCTGCCTATTACTTATGGTAAACACGTTTGCAGGAAACTTTGAATATCTCCATGGGCAGCAAAGAATTCCCTCTTAAAAGACAGTGGTCATTTAAATTTGGGATTTTTTTTTTTTTTAACTTCATAGATTTGTTTAGTTAGTTTGTTGTAAGAACCAACTTGCTTCTAATACCAAATGTTAAGGAGTGAAACTGTTCAGACATCACTCTGTTTACTGCTGGGAAAGTTTACAGGTGTGTCAAGAGCCGATAAGTAACAGTGAGCTCACAGTTGTAGTCACATGGCCAGTGAGTGATGTCATGGGTAGTTCTTTGCTGTTTTGGGTGCTTTTATTGCCTATTGATCACGCAAATGCCCTTCAATACTCTAGATCTATTCTGCATAGATGGAAGATGCAGTATTGCCCTAGATTGTACTGTACTCCAGCATTATTTTACAAAATGTTCCCCACTAAATATGCTCCAATGTAAATATGTAGTTGTCACATATATAAATCGATTACGGAGTGACTATTGAACTGAGGCTTGACTTTTAAAATATATCGCAGAATAAATGATATCTGTCAGAACAGTTGCAGTTAGATGTTTTTGCTCAAACTGTTCAGCTCTATTTGGACTTTTAAGTCTACAAATTGCTCTGCACTACACCACATGGCAAAGCACCTTCCACAACATTCTTTGATTTCCATTATCAGCTACTCGTTTTATACCATTGTTAATTTGCTCCTTGTTGAGTCTTTGAAATGTTAGGAGAAAAGAGACAAAATCTCTTGAGGCTTACTTTTTTTTTTTTTTTGCTCAAAGAAATAATACTATTCAGTTGTGGAATTTCTTTGAATATGAAGGAAACTTTCTTGGAATTTGCCAGGGCCAAAGCCTAGCCTTGCTATTGTCAAACTTAGCAGTGTCGTTTGTCAGACAGAGCAGTTAACCTAATTGTGTGCTCTCGTTTAATGTTTACCGATGGTATATTGAGGTAATGATTCAACCGGAACTTAAGAGGTTATCACAACATCAGCTGGATGTTATTGTACTTAACTTTATGAGTCGCTCAAAGTGTGGTACCAGGAAATGGAAGAAAAAAAAATACTTAGAGAAAGTTCCTTTGGAGATAAAATAAACAGCAGTAAATATTTTTTGGTTTTCAGAGATTAAGCAGGGTACTTTTGAACAAACTCACACCTCTTGCGATACAGTTTTATTCACTTTACTAATCGATGCTGTGCAGTTTTATCCAGGTCTTTTTCTTACTGATGTCTTTGAGCACCTGAGTTGACTTTAACAAAATGAGATGGGAGTTTCAGATTTTATTTGTTAAGGTTTCAGTTGCTGTAACTCATGTTGATATGTCTGTTGCTTGCTGTATGATGATCACCTAATAACGTGACATGTCTTCTTGTTCACCAGGATCCTTCTGTCACCCAGGTGACCAACTCCAGCATAGAACCAGTCAACCAGTACAACCCTTTCCCTGCCCAATCCAATGTAAGTCATGAAACTTGTCATTGTTCCCTCGTTTTATTGATTTTCAAATCTCTTTGTATCTCTGCTTTTAGAAACGAGGAGGAAGATTATTCCTCTGTTTTATCTTCATTCCCTGTTCTTCTCTTTTTTTCTCTCTCAGGTTTTTCTACTGTTCCTCTTTGCTGTTGTCACATTTTGATCAATAACAAAAAATATAAATAATTATTTTCATCATCCTTCAATCTTCTTTCCTAAATTTTCTTCTTCCTTCTCTTCTCCTCCTCATTGGTCTTCACCTTCTATATTGTTAATTATTCTTCCCTTGTTGGCATCATCTGGGTGCTTATGTCGTATTTCAGGATGGCCTTGCTGCTCACACTACTTCAGCCTCCACAACTCCTTACCAGCCGGCTGTGTTACAGCCATCTACAGAGCCCAGTCCACAGGTGAGAACACAAACATGCTTTTTGCCAAAGCTGCTACTTCTATCTGCTGCAGAAAAATACGACAGAACTAAAATGAGATAGACTAGTTTTCTATGTACTGCTATATCTATCTGTCATATCTATTTTACATGTGCTTTGTTATTGTTTCCACATTTCAATACTCCACAAAATAGCAGCAGTACAGAATAAGCACAGAACACAATGGACTTAGAGTAACACAGTGAACATTGAGAACAACAGTTAAATACTTTACAACAAGTATGTATGTATGTATGTATGTACACACACACACACACACACACACACACGGACACGGACAAAATTGTTGGTACCCCTCGGTTAATGAAAGAAAAACCCACAACGGTCACAGAAATAACTTGAATCTGATAAAAGTAACAATAAATAAAAATTCTATGAAAATGAACCAATGAAAATCAGACATTGCTTTTGAACCGTGGTTTAACATAATTATTTTAAAAAATAAACTCATGAGACAGGCCTGGACAAAAATTATGGTACCCCTAGAAAAGACTGAAAATAATGTGACCATAGGGACATGTTCAGTCAAGGTGTGTCCTCTAATTAGCATCACAGGTGTCTACCAACTTGTTAGTCAGTCAGTCGGCCTATTTATAGGGTTACAAGTAGTCACTGTACTGTTTGGTGACATGGTGTGTACCACACTAAACATGGACCAGAGGAAGCGAAGGAGAATGGCTAATAGGAAAACATTGGACTATTCTGAAGTGGCCTTCTATGAGCCCTGATCTGAATCCTATTGAACATCTGTGGAAGGAGCTGAAACATGCCGTCTGGAGAAGGCCGCCTTCAAACCTGAGACAACTGGAGCAGTCTGCTCATGAGGAGTGGGCCAGAATACCTGCTGAGAGGTGCACAAGTCTCATTGACAGTTACAGAAATCGTTTGATTGCAGTGATTACCTCAAAAGGGTGTGCAACAAAATATTAATTATGTGTGGCAGCATAAAAAAGGTTTATTTGACCAACATGCAGTACAACGTGACAATCCAAAGGGGCTCAGTACAGATCTGAGAAAGAGGATCCTAAGTTTACACAAATCAGGAATGTCTGTTAGAGCCATTTCTAAACATCCGCAGACTCCAAGCTCACTAGTTCAAACAAATGTCAAACTGTCACTCTCAGCAGAGATTAAATTGGTTTGAATGATCAGAACAAAACATTGCAACCATCATGGCACAGCCATGCCATGAACTAGTAACCGCTGGGAGACCAGTGTCACTGTTTACTGTCAGGCAAGGTTTACATCACCATGGCATGGACTGAATTTGCCTAATTGCCAACAGTAGTCAAATATCCAACTAGAGTTGTGCCAGAAGCTTGTTAATGGCTACCAAAAGAATCTGGTCAAAGTGCTTAGAGATCTTTAGACAAATATTGGCTGCGCTATATGTATTTTTTGACTGTGTATGTATAATTTTGTTTTTTTTCTTGCAAATGGTAACGATACAACAGGGTTTTACACACACAGCCATATTATAAACAAAAACATTATAAATAATACATATCTAATGTGTTTCTTGAGCAAAATGTTTCTGACTTCTCATTTTCAGGCAACTGCTGCTGCAGCTCAGGCCAACCTGCTGAGGCAGCAGGAGGAGCTGGAGAAAAAAGCTGCCGAGCTGGACCGCAGAGAACAGGAGCTACAGAGTAGAGGCCCGACAGGTCATTAAATACAAAACCCCTCCTCCTTGCAGTACAAACAGATGCAGCATAACTTAAAGGAGAGGAAAACAATGTGCAAAGTGTGCATTGTGTACCAAAGACGAATACCAAAATATGCTTTGTGAAAAATAACAGCCTTGCACACAGGCAGTGAACAATGCTGTGAGATCCAATTTAGCAGATCTGCAAGGGGCTGTTTGTGCCCACCCAACAAACAAGTGTATGAAATTCATATGAAATTCATAATATATGTGGATGACAAAACTGTGCTGGTTGCAGTACAGTTCTACAATTTCTTTTAGCAGATGCTTTTATCAAAGCGATGTACATCTGAGAGCAGATACAACACAAGCAAGGATCTAGTCAGGAGAAAACAATCTAGATAAGTGCCACAGAACAAATTCAAGTGTGACAGGGCGTTGATGCCAATAGCAGGCTGTGTGGGAGGTAAAAGGATTAAATGTTTTTCTTTGTTTGTTTTGTTTTGTTTTTTGCAGTAATGGCCAACAACAGATGTTATGTTGCTTTTTATAGTGATGTTGTGAGTTGACATTTCCAGGTTACTTTATCTCAAAAAGAAGATTTTTCTTTGGTAATTTAAAACCTGGATGTGGAGTTATTTCGGATGGACAGTTGTCCTTTTAAACAGATATGTTGTGTTTAAAAAAAACAAAAAAACTGGTGTTGTCTCTTGTCTCTACAGGTAAAGAGAACAACTGGCCTCCACTTCCCAAAAGCTTCCCCATCAAACCATGTTTTTATCAGGACTTCTCAGAGGAAATCCCTCAAGAGTACCAGAGAGTCTGCAAGATGATGTACTATCTCTGGATGTGTAAGTACATAGGTTGTTAGCGGTTCATTGACACAGTTGAAAAGTGAGTTGACATTGAAATACGATACAAGTTTTGCGCCCAGGAGGAATTTGTGTAACATTTTTGTGGGTCCTTGCTTTCGCCATGCAAAATGTAAAAACTTTTCATTGTCTTTTGATGCTGAATATCAGTAATAAAATTAAAGTTTAAACATGATAACATGTGCTGCTGTAGATGAAAGTGTCAGCACAAACACTGTAGCTTCCACGGATTTGGTTTTGTTTTCCATAAATGTAAACAATGCTGATATAATTACTTGTATATTAATATCATTGACTCTCTCCATGGTTTGTTACAGTCAACTGTGTGACTCTGTTCCTCAACCTGCTGGCCTGTCTGGCTTACTTCACCACTGATGCAGCCTTTGGTGTGGATTTTGGCCTCTCCATTCTTTGGCTCATCCTCTTCACTCCCTGCTCTTTCCTGTGCTGGTACCGGCCTGTCTATAAGGCCTTCAAGTGAGTCTCTATTCTTAGAGGTGCTGTGTTTGTGACCTTTCTTACTGTCCAGAGATAACAGGCAATCAATTCCACTTTTACTCCCCCAGCTGGAAAACTACAGCAAACCGTAGTAACTAAAGGATTTTTGGTTTTGTTGCTATCACCTAACCCACTGACAATGTTAAACAGGCGACAAAGAAACTTAAAGTGGTCAATTTCAATATATTTTCATTTTTGGGACAACAACCACAATGACCTTGGAGCCTAATGGCAGTAAAGGAAGAAAAATGTGAAAAATGCTTGTTGCCATTTGATGAGTTTGTAAATGATTTGTTTTGTTTGATCAACAGTTTAAAATCCAAAGATGTTTAGTTTTTTGGTGTCAAGACAAAATGTGAATTCCACAACTTAATAATAACTGAAGTCATCACAACTCTAGTTCCTTTTTTGACCATTCTGTAAGTGTGATATTCTGTTGATGTTTTTTTTTTCTATAAGTACTGAACCATAAACATGTATTTACTAAATGGTAACACACAATCTATTTTGAAAGCAGCAAATATTTTCTAAATGTGGAATTTTAATGAACATTTTGTTTTCTGTTTGTTTAGGACTGACAGCTCCTTCAGCTTCTTCTTCTTCTTCTTTGTGTTTTTCTGCCAAGTGGTGATCTTTATCATCCAGGCTGTAGGCATCCCCAAGTGGGGAAACAGGTGAGCCATATGCTAAATGTGTAATTGTATAAAACAATAGTAGAGTACTCTCTAAAATGGAAAATGTGGGTATTACATTTATTTGTGATCATTATACACTGCAAACATGCCTGCTGCATGAAGTTTACAGTCAAGTTGTTAATTACAGTTTTAACTGGAATAGTTCTACATTTGGCCTCAATTCTCACATACTTTCATTCATTCATAAAAAGCTAATGATTACAACATGAAGATTTTTTTTAATTCTGTATTTTTTATTGATGCATTCAGGATATGTTTAGGATATGTTCTCCTGACTGATGGAAAAAAAGTATCATGTCTATCTTTGGTGACTTGCTTTAATATCTTCATTAATACCAGTCAGCTGGCCTGTGAGCTTTCTCTCTCTCTCTCTCTCTCTCTCTCTCTCTCTCTCTCTCTCTCTCTCTCTCTCTCTCTCGCTCTCGCTCTCGCTCTTGCTCTCGCTCTCGCTCTCTCGCTCTCTCTCTCTCTCTCGCTCTTCAGCCACTAGCCTGCTGCCTCTCTGTCTGCTGGTAACTCTGTAAGTTTCTGCTGCTCACTTTGCCTGCTACGTCCTGCCAACACTCACTCTTTGTTCTGTTCTCTTGATTTCTTTCTTGTGTCGTAGCTTGTTAAATGCAAGTTAATTGGTGAACAGAGAAGATCTGATCAGTGGACTTTTGAGTTTAACTCGGAGCATACATATAGTGACACACTTTATCGTTTCCTTTCACCATATGAATTTTTACTTTATTTTTCATTGGATGTTTTTCATTTTTACTCCATCATCTTCTACATGGCTATGAATAATGAGTTGTTGTAAAGTAAAGCCCATTCTAAGACAATTTTTTACAATCATAAAAGCATAGTACTGAGTGCAGATGAATAATTGGACATTCAACTGATTCCACTTTGATAAATAAAGATAAAGATAAAGATAAAGATAAACTTTATTCATCCCGAAGGAAATTGTTTTGCCAGAGTACAGTTAAAGAATAGTGCCTTAATAAAACAATACAATAAGTACAATAAACAATAATAATTATTAAAGTGACAGTAGTTCTGTCGATGCAACACTTTTTAGCTGTCCCAACCTCAACCGCATTATTATATAGCTCTTCATAATTATATGTTTGAGATTCTGCCTCATATTTGTGTGTCTGATGTTACATTTTAACCTTTAGTGTGTGCATAGATTCCTTGAGTGCCCATGCACACATTAAAAAAAGCAGAAGATGAAGAAAGAAAAAGCCCTTTGATTTCAAAATGGCACTTGCCACATGGCTCTTCATTTCCTCCTTTCTCCATTTGGATGCTTGTCATGTAATCATGGCACTTTACATATTAAGAAAACAGACAGTTTATGTGATACTGGCCAGTGTCATCCTGTGCAGATGACATGCGAATTACAGTAGCACAGTTTTTTTCTGAAACTACAAGGGCTTTTTTTTGGAATAATATAAATAAAAACAATAATAGTAATATGAAAATGTACGCATACTGAAATGAGGTTTATTTCATCTTTTAGATCAGTCCTCATTTTGCATCTTCTTTTTGACTTTTTGCATTCTTCTTTAATGTATTCTTCTTCTTTCTCTAAATGTAGCCAAACAGAATGCATGTATGCTGTGTGTGCCTCTGTAAGCAGATGTTTCAGTCTGCTGAAGATGGCCAGTTTAACTATTGCCGTTCATAAGATCACCTCAAACTCATTGATGTTTGTTGACTCTAGTGGTTGGATCGCTGCCTTCACTGTCATCGGTGAACATAAGGCAGCAGGAGCCATTATGATCATAGTGGCCATCCTCTTCACCATCTGCTCCGCGATGTCCATCATCCTGCTAAAGATGGTAAGAGCTGGTTCACTTCTATTGGTATTTAGAATTTTAATTTGTGCAAATTGGTG